ACAATGGGGCATACATGAATGTATCCTTTTCCTCAGTTTACCATTCCCAAGGCCTTTCTAAAACCTTCCTCCACGCTACCATGCCAGCATGATAGCAACAAACATCCATATGTCTGAGATGAAAACTGGGTTTACAGCAACTTAGGGTGTTATTTAGAGCCAGTTCCTAAACCAGAGTCTTCTGATTATTCCTTTTAGAATATAATGTATCTTTTTTTTTTCTTTTGTTTTTAATTGTGTTCTTTTCCACTAGGGGATGGGATTGCCAGGGAAAGTAGTCCATTTATTAACTGTGCAGAATTGGGCAGCGAAAACATTTATGAAGGAAAGAATATGGCTCTCTTTGAGGTAAGTTAAATACTCCAAAAACATTTTACCTTTAATGGAGATGAGCAATCACCTGTTTTCTTTCTGTCCTAAAACTTAGTGGGGGACGGAATGAGTTTTAGTAACTTTTTAATAGTGTGGTTCCTGCTAACATTCCATTTCAGTGTATTTGAATGGTATATAGGCAAGAACAGTAAATATTGGTGTGCATTAATATGAAGATATAAGTCTTCGTGCTTTTAAATTTTTTGGGCTAGGATCTAGACATTGTTAGAGAAAGCTACTGGAAGGTAAATCTTTTTTAAAGAAATCTGTATTCAATTTTAAAAGGATTAGCAAAATAATTTGTTCAACAGGTGAATTACAGACTTTTTGTTAAGCAGCAAAGCTATAAAACAAACTTACAAGCCATGACTTAGTTGTATTGTCCATCTACAGTGTAGAGTACACCACAGCAATTTCTAATGCAAACATCTACTTCATAATGGATGATTCATGCCTTTTTAATCAGCTGAATGATTACAATCAAATTACTGAAAAAAGTATATTAATTGAATACTTTTAAGGGACACTTTTGCAACTGAGTATTTCTAGTAAAAACCTTAATTGCTGTGCTGTAGCAGCATCAACTAGTCTTGCTCTGATGCTTGCTGTTAACAAAAACAAGGTGCTTCCAACATTGTCTAGCCATCTTACTGTTGCATTTTTCTCAATGTTTTCTTGTTGTTCTCTTACATTTCTCTCTTCTTCCTTTCAAATATCTTTGCACAGAGGACATGGTCTTTCATCTTACCAGTGTATGACCCAAATAATGTATATTTACTATTTTTCACTGTTTTAGAGAAAATTTTGCTAAGGATCAAAGTAATGATCATTAATTGTCTTTTTGTCTTGCAATATCTTATTATTTTTTTTTACAGGAATGATTATATTAAAGTTCTGTCATTTAATTTTTCTCCTTTAAGCTCTACTCCATAAAGCCATTTCCAAAACTTTCTGGTTCAAATTAGTTGCTGTATTCCTCAGTGATGATAATTTGGCCATAGCTGCTTTTTGTCTCGAGTCTTATTTTGAAACATGGCTTACATTAAATCAGCTGATATAAAACCATTATTTTTATGTATCTCAAGTTATAGATATTGCTGTTAACAGTATTATGTTGAAAGCCTTCTAGTGATTTCATCACTGCTGGTGTTGTTGTGGTGAAATTTTTTGATAATATGTATGTTTCAGAGTAAGTTTCCTACAATCTTGTTTTTCTTATGTTTTCAGATATTAGAGTTGCATAAACTGTTACAAAGAAGTTTTACTATTATTACCATTATCATTACTTAATCTTCCAGGCAGAGATACTTTACTTCTTTTCTGTGTTTGTCACTCTGATCTCTTGTCTTCTTTCCAGTATTCAATTTTTTGTATTTAATTGGATTCTCTTGGATCCATTTTTCTTGGAATTCTTGGGTTGTATATTCTTCTGGATTGTATTATTTTTTTAGCATGTTTTTGTTTTGTAGCAGTAAAGAAAGATGGGCTGACTTCTGTGTCAGGTGCTATTACATATGTGATATGCATATGTATGGGTATTTTCAATAAGTTAACACTTTGGATATTGTATGCCTGGTGTAAGATAAAATATGTAGGCTTGCAGCACTAGACTTCAGAGAGGTACTTAAGTAATTTAGTGCTTAAGAAATTATTTAAAGTAACTTTCTAAATACAAGCAAGATGCTGGAAAAACACCCTAATGACTCAACCCTACCAGTACAATTCACTAAAGAAGACTGTGTTGTGATAAAAATAGACTTTTAAAATTACAGTGGTCTTTCTCTAGGTTTTCCTCATATTAGAGCTGCATATTGTAAGGTAGAGTAAAAATATGAAAGAAGTGGTGCAACATAGCCATGTAGAGTTAAACTTCTAGAAATAATAGAACTTTATTTTTGGTTCAAAGCTGACTGGTATTCTGTCATGATAATTTATTTGGCTGAATCAGGGCTGACCTGTTGAGTGTCTGTTTGAAGTAGAATCATAAAATGATGACTTAAAAAAAATTATTTAATGCAGTATTGCTCAAAACCCAACAGGAAGAAATGGATAGTAACCCCATGGTGTCATCTCTTCTGAATAAACTAGCAAACTACACTAATCTGACTCAAGGAGTGGTGGAACATGAAGCAGATGAAGACAGCAAACGAAAGGAAGTCAAGGTATTTAGATTTCTAATAACTTATTGAGCTAAAGCTAGCTATAAGAGGTGTATTTTTCAACCTGAAAAGAGAATATGTGGACACTTAAAAATGGGAGTGAGGTTTGTAATAAATACCATGTTTAGAACTTAAGCATTTGCAGCAGGACTTTTGTTAATTTGATGTTCTTTATTAGCATGTTTTAGTAAAACTGTGCTGTAAAACTCCTAGGTAAAACATGTGCAAAGCTAGGATCTTAAACAATGAGTATACCCAGTTTTTTCTTCCTTTCTTTTCTTCTTCCTTGTGAACTTGTGCAAGCATCAGTACTTGTTACCTACCTCCAGTGAGCATAAAATAGGACTTTTTGCAGGTTTTTTAGTTTATTTTAACTGCCTAGGTTTTTAGGTAGTTATATTAAGGCAAATTTGAGATTAAATAGTTCATTCTTTTAATTCTATAAGCATATGTGCACCTCTTAACACGGTAGTAGTTTTTTTGAGTAGCTGTCTTGGTTTTCTGTGTTGGAGTAAGTATTTTTATAACTTAATTGATGCATTCCAAGAAAACGCTTTCTTGCAAACATCAAAAATATTATACTTGAGGGAGGGGAAGTCATATGCTCTGTTTGACATATTGCTAAACATACTTGCTTGAACTGAATTGAATTCATCAAGGGTTGTCTGCCTACTGGATGTATCTCTGTGTCTGTAGAAATGGAATGTATGCAACAGTTGGAGTCTGCAGTGGCAATGTTGGATTGATTCCTCTGTTAGCAGAGGTTGATTTTGAAGGAGAAAGCTTGGATTAAAACATGTGACCTGACAGAGTATACAAACATATAGGCAAAGGAGGGATAATGAGCTGCATGGTGAGCGTGGTGACTGAAACTAAGAAAATTAAGGTAGATGCTGGGAAAGGACAGTGCTGGGAGTCACCTTGTCTTTGTGTAGGAGAAGGGGTGCTGCTACTGAATATATATGCTGAGCTCTGAAGAAAAGAAGTACATGAGAATGAGAAAAAGGAAAATGAGCACAGAGCAGAAAAGACAGAGATGAAAATACATTTGAAAATAAGCTGAGAACAGCAGTTCATTTGACTGGAAGGGAGATTTTGAGTGGAAGTTGGTACTGGGACAGTGGGCAAGGGTCAGGGATCAAGTCCAACTGTTTGTTTACCTTTTTGCTTATCCTCCAAACTTTTTGCTTATCCTGCTTATTTGTTAATGAGTGTGTTTTCTTTTTGTTTGTCTAGTTGTGCTTGATCTGTATTTGTTCATCTCATCTGAAGATAAACCTCAGATATGAGACAAGTAACACTGATCTTCTCACACTTTCCTTAGCATGAACCCTGTTGTCTGTTCAGCTGCTGTGTAGAGGTTTTTGTCAGTCCAGCACTTTATTGCTCCCTCTGGAGCTGACTGTGAACAAATTAACATCATGTCCTCACTTGCATTTGATCTTGTTTGTGCTCTATGTTGTTGCCTGATAACGCAATTTTTATGTATGTGTCTTAATTTCATTTCTGAAATTGTGATAGTTAAGCCTGTCAGAGTAGCATTTCTAATAGCGTGATTGAGACAGTGGTATTGATGCTGCCCAAGATGGTGGGATATTGCCCAAGATGCTAAAAATAAAAAATATAGTCTGAATGGCATTCTTTGGTTTCTTATAAATATTAGAAAATTTAGTGTTTTCTTAATAATTTTGATAACTTCTAAAGCATCAATGCTTGCTTATTTATTTAAATTGATTGCCATTTTATCACAGCCCAAGTTGTGATTTAAGACCATCTTGTGTAACTGGAAAGCTATTGTGTATAACTGTTGATTCTAGCTAGAGTATTTCAAACCCTGATTTCTCTTTATAAATGTAGAAGACTGAAACTTTAGTGATGAAGCCTGAATGCTTTTGTGTGTGTCTTGACCTATGATGATCACTAGCAACTAAAAAGTACACATATACTATGTTGTGGCAGGTTTTAAAATTTTTGAAAAAAAAAAAATTGTAGTCAGTTCTGCATTACTTCACACTCTGTCTTAATACCTTGTCTGCCTTTTTTAAAAATTGAAATTACTATTGAATATAATTTTTTGTGCCAGCTGTGTGGCAATTTGTATTCAACTCTTTGTAGAATACAAATGGTATTTTGATTATGACAGTAATTTATCTTTAAACTGTAACTTTAGTCTGTAATTGGTATTTCAGAAAAAGTTTGTAAAGTGTTATAATCAACAGATAAAGGGCCATTCTATCCCTATCAAGGTTTCATCCTAATTCCTGTGGAACAAGAGAATTTGTTATCACAAATAGTTTCTCTCTTTTGAGGAACTTTTCTTCATAAATAGCACATGAATATTTGCAAAGCTGGGCACTCTGAAGCTACCATTCAGTTTCACTTGGCATTTGTTCATGGAGCATTCGTGATAAGTGTTTGTGGAATAAAGTGTTTATGGATTTAAATTTGTTATTGCAAAGGAATTGATGTTCTCACTTTGTTTCCAGGGTCCACGAATGGGCACTTTTATTGGTGTATATCTTCCCTGTTTGCAAAACATCTTGGGAGTTATCCTTTTCCTGCGTTTAACATGGATTGTAGGAACAGCTGGAGTTCTTGAGTCTTTCATCATTGTGTTCATGTGTTGTGCTTGTGTAAGTTGCCCTTATTTTACTTATTTTTTAAATTCTTGTCCAAATTCTCTGTTGGAAGAGTACTGATACCTTCTAATATATGAGTATCAGGGAAAAGATAACTGCCCGTATTTAATCATACTGGTAAAATTGTGCTGATATTTAACCAATATGGTTTAATTGAGAGAAATGGGTTATATATTTAAGCAGTGAGTGTTACATGTCAGTCTAACCCGCATGGACATTTTTTGAGTTGATCAAAGTAAGCATTTGATTGATGAGTTTTATTAAATCAGCCTTTAGCAAATATTTCATTATTTATTTGAGATCGGAACTGTTCTGCTTTTTTCAACTTCAGAACAAATTGAATAATAAACTAGTAGTGCATCCATAAAGTAATTTTTTAGAATATGAGACCACTACTAGATGTTGTCATAATAATGTTATAATTAGTTTTCACTACTTTTTAATTAGAATAATGAGCATACTATTTTAAGTATATGCAATGGTCTGTATTCTTCCAGTTCTTTTTTAAAGACTGTGTCAAGTATAAGTTAACTAAATCTTCTGCTGAAAAGTTGAGTACTTGAGTTGCATGGATATTCCAAATTAAACATCTTGGGGAAAAAAAAAAATCTAGTTCAATTTGATTACTGTTTTGCCCAATCTTTCAAAAAAAAAAAATCCTCCAAAACTTTTGTATTTTAAATTGCCTCTATTTTATCTTTCCACAGACTATGCTTACTGCAATTTCAATGAGTGCTATAGCAACAAATGGTGTAGTTCCAGGTAATGAAGAATTTTATCTTACATAGCAAATTCTCAAATAATGGAAGTTTAAAACTGGGATAAGAAATTCTTATCATTCTCAAATATTAGAAGTAATGTTTTTGTGTCAAATGCATTTTTTCTTTTAATTGATTCTATAAATAACTTTTTAGTATGAGTTGCAGTCTTTAACTGCAACTGGGAGTTATAAATTGAATTAATGGAGACTAGTCTTCACACAAAGCAAATGTCTTTACAAATAAGGCTAATACTTTTCTCTCTCCTGAATTTTCCTACATTCCAGCTAAACACTGGAGTTAGTTTCTTGTTTTATGCAAGAATAGTAACTGGTCTCATGGCAAAAATATTTTTCTGCATGAACACTCTAGGTCCTTAAATTTTCAGGGCAGGTTGATAAATTGATTCAGCTTCATAAAGTAAGAGGATTTTTTTTAAGTTGCAAAATCAGTAAGCTCTTGAAGCTTTTACCCTTTTCAGTTTCTCAGCACAATAATTGATAGTTCTGGTGTTCAGATATTGGTATGAACTCTGAACAGTTTAGCTAATGAACTTAAACTTTGTTGGACAAAAGTAAAAGCTATAATTTGTGTAGGATGTAGAATAATTGTATTATAATTGTATTTTAAGGATACAGTACCATATATGAAATAAAAAAAAAATTGACAATTTTGTTTAAAATACATGTGTTTTATAATAAAACGGAGTTATTCAAATCAGTGTGCAGATAACTAAAATGTTCTGCTCTATTCTCCCTCATATTTTTAACGTTCATCTTAATGGTTTTGTTTAACATGTTTCACAGACTTTGAAACCTGCAGTTCTTACATGAGACAGGTCTTAATTTTCACTTTTTTTGTTGTTGGTGCCAGTTTCTTAGAAAAATTATACTTGTCCTGGAATGTATGGAGAAGGCAGAAAGCACAGAAAGCACAGATAAGAACCTAGGATTGAAGGAGACCTAAGCAGCAGGATCCTTTTTTTGCCTTTGTATGCGAGAGTATTATATTTAGTAAAAGGATTGGTGATGCATCATAAGATCTTTCTTAGTTTCTCATTCATTCATATTGAAAACATTGAAGTCTGCAGAACAGGCTGCCCAGGCAAATGGTGGAATCACCATCCTGGGAAGTGTTCAAAAAACAAGGAGGTGTGGTGCTTACGGACAGGTTGTAGTAGTGGACCAGATAGTATTAGGTCAATGATTAGGACTTAATGATCTTGGAGGTCTTTTGCAATCTTAATGAGTCTATGAAAAACAGCTTCAGACTCTGCACATTAATGTATGTTATTTAAAATTACACACATCTTTTCTCTGTTGCATGGGGTTTTTGTGCATGACCTGGCGCTTTGCCTTACTGAACCTCATACATGTACCACAGTGGCTAACCTCCAGTTGTTGTTTGTCTTCCCACAAGCAAGAAAAAAAAAAAAAGAATTAAAGAGTAGATGGAGAGGGAACCAGAGAGAAGAGTTTGCCTTGAAGGAGTTGGTCGACATTCTAAAAGAAAGAGATGAGCTTGAAATTTAGAGCCTTATTAAAAGGCAAATAGTGTAATGGAAATAGGATGGTGGTGGGTGTAGTTTATGACTTAAAGAAAGATGCTGCATATGTATGGGAAATAAGAGTGAGAAGAATTAAAGAACTCGGGGTTGAAGTGAATAATATATAAGTGGACAAGAAAAAGCAATCCCTACCCACCACCTTTAAACAGTACTAAAAAGACATGATCTTTAGTTACAGAAAATAGAAAGAATCAGTAGAAAATATTCTGTTTTGTCCTTGTCTCATAAAGCAATTATTTTGGAATTTTATTCTTTGATGGGGAACAGCTTAAGGTTAGAAGATAAAAATTCATTCACATCTATTTATACCTGTATATCCTTTTCTAATTTTCTTTTGTTTAGCTTGTGGAATTGTTCCTCTTCTTGCTTTCGTCTTCACTTTCTGTTCCACAGACAATGCACATGGGGATATTAATCTAGAAATGTACATTCTAACTACCTAGATGGTACAAACATTGATTACAGTCTTGTCATGAGCATGTCAGTGGTTTTCTTGATTATGTTGATTGAATGATTCAAATTTTTGTTCTCTACTGCCATCCTTACTTAAACTGAAGGCCTGGAGGTGTTCTGTGTTTTTTGTTTGTTTGTTTTTGTTTTGTTTTCTTAAATTCACAGCTGGAGGCTCTTACTACATGATTTCAAGATCTTTAGGGCCAGAGTTTGGTGGAGCAGTGGGACTTTGTTTCTACTTGGGCACAACCTTTGCAGGAGCAATGTACATTCTTGGTACCATTGAAATTTTATTGGTAAGTGCTAGTTTCTGTTAAGACTAAATATATTTGGGCTGTTTTGGGATATTGCTGGTGAATGTTCTTATTGGTTATAATGCATTCTAGTTTGATGATTGTTAATGTTTTGTTACTACATTTTCAGGATGTTTATATTTATTCTTACTCTACTTATGACTATTTGAGGAAGTTAAATTCTTACCACTAATACAAAAATAAATTAAATGCTATTTTATGTATATTTACTCTACATAATGTGGGAACCAAGCAGAAATCTTCTCTTTTCAAATAATAGTCGGCAAGCATTACCAGGGTAACTTGCTGCTGCCCAATGAAAAGTTGTGGAGAATATGAAGGGTGTATCTCTGATGAGGCAATAACAATCTTTCACACTTCCTCATTTCTGAACTACTGACTTTGATTTTTCATATATTTGCAAAGATGCTGTGGAAGGCTGTCTGTATGGCAGTGGCCCAGCTACTATGGCTTTGCGTCATCCAGGAGGGGCCAGTAATTGGTAATCATATCAGAAAGTGAAGATATGCACAGGAGATACTTCAGAATGCTTTCTTGTAACTTACTGTGATCCATGTCATCAAATCCAGGCTTTTTTACATTTAAATTAGAGATAGTATTTACTAATGCTTGCTTGTGTGATCTGATCTGGCTTGTTGTCTGATCTGTAGTAGTAACACAAGCATGTTTTGAATTGTGGATTGAATTTGGTTCACTGCTCTCCCTAGAGGGAGAGTCATGCTGGGTTTGTGTTGTTAATAAAATGTATGGGGTCTGGATACAGAATTGGAAGTAAAATGCTGTCCAGGATATCTGTCAAAGACCTCAGAATAGACCCCTGACATAGCCACAAGGTGTGAGTATTGCTTTTTTTCCCCTTCACTGGGGCATGGATTATTTGGAGAAACAGAAACCTAGGTCATCTGCCTGTGGTTTTCCCTGGCAAAGGCTTTGAACAGCAGGACAACAAAATCCACAAGAAAATGTTCTGGAGTACCTCCGTACAGAGCCTGAAACTTCTGCAAAGTCATCATGTAGGGTTTTTCTAACAATATATTCTTTATATACACTTTATTTGTAATATTTTTTTAGTTTGCTTTCTTTTTCTTCCATGATGATGTGACAATTTTCATATCTTCCAGCATTCTAGTAAATACTAATTTTGTTAAACTTAAATTTAATCTAAGAAAATTCTGGTGAATAATTATCTATGTCTATTTTTGGATTTTACTTATGAATGTATTTTAGCAGCCTCCTGTTCAAAGTTTCTCCCTGCCTTTAGAAATTGTGTGATTGAAAAATAATCATTTGAGCAATTTTTTTGAAGGACTGGAGTTGCCTCAATCCCTGGTATCTGAACAGAGAGGAGTGTTTTTAGGGGGGCTAGAAGAAGGAATATAGATATTGTTGAGTAGTGTAGTACACCAATGTCTCAGAACTACAGATCAGTTTGTCTTCTCACACGCATTTATCAGTATAAGTGCTATAAACAGTTTCCAACTTCTTTTCAGGTAGAACACACCAAAATTTAAGGAAGAGAGATCTGTAAGAGAATCTTGTTTGAAATTGCAGTAGTTTGAAATATCTGGTTTAGTACATGACTAAGCTTCTTGAATTGTGCTGTTGCAACTTTAGATTAAAATTTTATGAAGTATTATATAGGGTGTATAATACTGAAAACATTTTTAGTGTATTATACTTCTGTTTGATTCTTCATATTTTGTTTCAATCAATGGAAGTCCTTTTTATGGTTTGGATTTTTTCCTTTTTATGTGTGCTACTTCCTTCCCCTCCCAAATTCCTTAGTGGTTTTTCCCATTTGGCAGACACATGAATTTGAGGAGTGGAAGCTCTTTAACAGGAGATAAAAAGCTGGAGCAAAAGTTGTATCCTATTCTTAAACCTTGTTTTTCTTCACCCTCTCCCTTTTCTTTCCTTTATCTCTACAGTTTTTCGATGCCCAAATTATATGACTAAACTCATTTGTGAAAGCAAAGCTGGTATAGGTTAGATTTTATAGTTCAAGTAAATGATTTAAAAAAATGTTCATTATTACATATATGATAGTTCGCCATATTTCTTGCAGACCTATATTTCTCCAAGTGCTGGTATATTTAAAGTGGCAGATGTTGGTGAAGAAACAGAGGCTATGCTGAACAACATGAGAGTCTATGGAACATGTATAGTCATTCTGATGGCCATAGTAGTTTTTGTGGGAGTAAAGTATGTCAACAAACTTGCACTGGTCTTCCTTGCCTGTGTGATTCTTTCCATCATTGCCATATATGCTGGAGTTATTAAGACTGCTTTTGACCCACCTGACTTTCCGTAAGTACATTATCAAATTTGTGTGGGTTATTTAAAAGAAAAAAAGTGTTGGGAGGGAATAGCTGCTGTAACCACTTCATGTTTTAAGCTAAATTTCAAAACACAAACACATCGGTTTCAGTGGTAGGTTTATGTAGTTTAAATACCGATGTTGTCATTTGTTATTCTGAGTTACATATCTTAGTATTTCTCTCATTTTTCGTAAGCTATGGTAACTCTAGAAAATGTTCTTTGGTGCTTAAAATTTGGCTGTTATTTCATCCTCTCCCAAGGAGCAAGAAGGTGGGTTTTGCTGGCAGTAAATGTAACTGCTTTATCTAAAGATTTAAACTAAAACCTATAGAATGAAGTAAAAAGATCAAGAAACCATTGTAGCTATTAACCATAGTTACAAAAGAGGCATAATTTTAAACTTCCTATGTTACAAAGAAATTTTAGAAACCTCAATTTCTCACTACTTAAAATTGAAACATAGAAGTGTTTAAATTCACTTGTGTTTGTGAAGGCTTTTGCATTAATAAAATAAAATGGTATTGTTGTTATGCATGACACATTGCTTCTCAAGATCCTCGATGTGCTTAATTCTTGGCTCAATAGGAGTTACTTCTTTACTCCAGTTATTAGTTGCATTTTACTTTCCCCTGTTATATAAGTTGCATTTTTGTGCATATTTTTCTGTTGAAAGAGGAAACAAAATTATATTGCTTAAGACATGATCAGGATAAGGCTGGTAACTTCAATCTTGCATGGCACTTCATAACTAGAGTTATTCTTGGCTGTATGATTCAATTACATATGATGTTACATATGTAACAAATTATGTAACATGTTACATATGTAACAAAATATATTACAACTTAAAGATTACTTTGAAGTGTTGGTAATTACATTTCAAATTTACATTAGAGCACTACTTGTGGACTGTTCTGTAACATTATTTTACATGTAATATGTAAAATGTTGACATATTTCTGAATAAAACTTGTGTTTCTTACAGTAACTTCCAAGGGGGAAATAGTAATATCTTTTTGTCACCTGTATAGGTAAAAGAGAGTTTATGTGGATATGTAGCATAGGTAAGACTCATTACCAATTTCCTGGAAACTTTATATGTGGCTGCTACTGTAATATTATTGTACAGGGGGGAAAAATATAAAAAAAGTTTATTTTCCACTAAATATAATGGTTTACATTTAGAGTCTGCCTCAAAATGAGAAACTCAAGTGCCGGTTTATGTAATGGTAAGACTGATCTGATGGTGGTCATTAAAAAAAACCCAAAGAAAACAGCTTTTGGATTGTTATGTTTTTGAGGATCATTTAAAGTTTTTAGTTGCTAGAAAAGGAAGAGCATGGTTTACTTGCTTAATCTTACTTTTATATTTTCTTCATCAGACTCATATTTTAATTAAGTTTATGATTTTACTTTTGTCTTGTAGGCTGAATGCATCATAATTGCTGTTATTTAGTAGTCAAGCTGCTTAAATTGATTGTACTTTCTGAAGAACAAATCAGAAGGCAAAACAGCTGCCAATACCATAAAGTAGAAATATTTGATCCATGTTTTAAAGACTATTGATGATAGTTTTAGATGTAGAAATTATATACTGTTTTAGTAGGTGTAGTATAGGCCTTAAGGTAGATAGTGTAAATAGCAGGTTTCTTAAGAAGTCTAGTGGACAAAAAATGGCTTAATTCACAGCCTTGTATTGAAGGAACACTGATTTTATTTTTCTTGTTTATAGTATCTGTCTCCTTGGAAACCGTACATTGTCAAAACGCAGCTTTGATGTCTGTGCCAAATTTACTGAAAGCAATAATGAAACAAAGACTACACCTCTGTGGCGCCTGTTCTGTGATAGTTCTTTGCTTAATGCTACATGTGATGACTATTTCAGTCTCAATAATGTAACAGAAATTCAAGGAATTCCAGGAATAATGAGTGGAGTTCTAACTGGTAAGTTGGAAAGCACAGTGACTTAAAAGTTTTTGGACATTCTTAATTTGGCCAATGGCTGGTTAGTAGTACATTTGTCTAGTCAGTCACTATTTATTTGCCCCTAGTCTGTGTGAAAGATTGCCATCTTGAGCATGCTTCTTCCTGTAAAATTTTCATCTGGCTTTGAAGTGCTTTAATGTGGAGGTAATTGGAGTTTTATAGGTACGCTTTCAGAAACTATTGTTCAAGCAAAAAGGTGATAAAGTGCTCATCACAGTTGTTTGGTTTATTTTGTGGTTTTTTTTTTTTTAATGTGTATGCCAAATACACATTTCAATGAGCCATTCATTAATATATTTTCAAACTCTCCTGAGGGAGAACTTATTTCCAGTTTACAGGTGGTGCAATGAGAATGAAGTTCTGTGGATTGTCCAATGTGTGCAAGTTCATGATTGAATTAGAGAAAAGCTGTCTACAAAGTATATAGATTTTATTCTCTTTACAGATCTGTATGGTTGTGGCAACTTGGAATTCAAATTGCTTTAAGTCATAGGATTCATCTTAAATGTGTCCTAGAAGGGCTAAATATCTGGACTTTTCTGAAAAGTTATTCTTTTTTCTCAACCTAACTTTTAAGTCCACTTGGATTAGCACTTTTGGGAAAATGAGCATAGGAAATCTCTGTGTGACATGTTATGAAATGGGAAAGTGATTTCTATTCAACAAAGTATCTAATCCGATTTTACCCACTTGTGCTGGCATGCACAGTTCCAGAATTAAGTGGCATGCATTGCAGGGCTCAGGTCACTGCCACTCTTGTGTCACACTGAATAAAGGACACAAACAGTTGCGTGCTTATTAAGAATTAAGTGGTTTTGATTGGCAATTCAAGCTGATTTTTGGATTTTCTTCTTATGTTTGACATGGGGTAGATAGATGCTAATTTGGAGATCTAGTCTTATTTTACATCACTCATCAAATCTCTGCTAAAATTCCTGAAATTTGAAATTATCTTGTTTCATTAACTCTTCTTTATGGTTTCAGTCCTATCTCTAGATCAGTCTGTTACTCCTCTTAATTTGATTGTAGTAATACACATAGCATTCCTTAGGAAATAATACTTATTTTTAATCTTTGCTCTACTTTCTCTTCTGCTTCCCATGCATACTTCCATATATGCTTAACAATTGTAAGTTTTTTGTTAAAAGTCTAGGTATGAGTACCCTCTCTTTAGCCACTTATGGTTCAAAGTCCATCTTCTACTGTGCTCAAGGTTACTTTTTGCTATTATATAGCTTTAAAGGCTTAGAATACTGTACTTCAATTCCCTGGAGTAGTTCAGGATGTGTGAAAATCCTGATCATCCTGGCAGACCATGGGAATTTTTTATTTCCTTGCTGTAAAATCCTTTGCCTTCTTGACAGGCCAGAAGAGTATGTACTTTGTTTTCTCCCATATGATAGGACAACTTGTCCCATTTTCAAATAAGAATCACTGTGATCTGTTCTCACAGTCTTATCAAGGTATACAACTAGTGTTTTCAACACATTTAAGTTCTCAAAATTTACTGTTTGACCTATCACTCTTCATACAAACGTGCTTAGTTTTCTGGGGAATTTGAGCCATATTCTGCTGGGTTTTTATTTTGCTTATCAGTGATCTTCTGGAGTCTGGTTACCCTGCTTTTGTCACCATGTGGAAATTTTTTAATATTAACAGCTGAACTCTGAACTGTTATGCAGGATTATTCTGTACAGGAGGTCTCAAATTATGGTTAAGTAGTATTTCTTTTACATGCTGCTCTTCAAACTACAAGAACAAGAAATATTAGTATATACTAAGATTATTTGAACCTGGAGATACGTCTCATTATTTTTTCATAATAGTACATCTGTGTGTCTGTGCAATATAAGTGTACATTCTACAAATATGTTAGAATTTAATTCTATAACTATATTTTGCTTTAAAGGAAGAGAAAATTTTGCAGGACACATCTCTTGCTACTGCATTCTTACTGGCATGGAATGGAGTGCCCACTGATACAATTGGTATTAATCATACTGGGAAATGTCATGCTTTTTGTGTAAGAAAAAGGCATCTGATTCTTAGTCTCACTAGTTGATATCCTGAAACAGAGAGGTGACAATGATTTTGTTTTTTCCCCCACCTTGTAGATAATCTCTGGAGTGCCTATTCAGAAAAAGGATCAATAATTGAGAAAAAAGATCAGCCATCAGTTGCTGGATCAGAAGAGTCAAAAATGGGTGGACTTCCTTATGTTTTTACAGACATCATGACCTACTTCACAATGCTTGTAGGGATTTATTTTCCATCTGTGACAGGTAGACACAACTGTTTTTCTTGCATGAGGATATGTACTTATATCTGGGAAAATATATTTTCATGTGAAATTTTTTAGTTTTCACCACTCTTATAGGTGACTCATGCTGTTGCAAGTTTCTGTGTCTGAGGTTATGTACCTAAAACATTCTGGTGCTAAGGAGACACAGGTCGTAGCTGATGACTTTTGAAGGTTACGGAAATTAAACAAGAAATCTGTTTAACGGCCATTTGCATGTCTGCAAAGAAAGCAAAGCCCTCATATGTTACTAAATGTTTATTCAAAATAAGGTGCCTTTATAATACTTTAATCTTCAAAGGCTTGAGAGAACAGTTTAATATTAAAATGATTCTTCCAGTGTCCAAGCTGCCTGGTTAACTGCCTGGGATTTGTTTACATGTCCAATATTTTGCCACATTAAACTGTGTAGACTTGTTTGTCGAGCCTAGACTAGGTGTATTTCATTTTCCTCAGCTTATGTTTGACTGAAAAAAAACAGGTATGTTTTTCTTCAAAAGTCCCGGTTGAAGTAATTGTAATGTCAAGTAACAGACTAGAACTCAACAAAGAAGTTGCAGCACTGTTTGCTAGCTTATTATGAAGTGGAATAATTCCTTTGTATTCACTGTTTGAACCCCACTGCTCCCATTTCTTTACTTCAGACTCTTACAACATTCATCATATCTGAACCCGTGGTTAATGTTTTATTCCATGGAGTTTGACAATGTTTTTGCACTGGAACATCTTAACATTAACTTCTATGTTTTTGCTTCCAGTGGTCAGGTCAATTCTAGGAGAGATGGCAAAATTAGTTATTGTATAGGTTTCTTTCCCTCCTGTCACTGTATGTGCTACAAAATAATTCTGTTCTCTTTTTAGATTCACACACGTGTACATGTGATTTTTCTAACCATTCTTTTTCTTGCCTGCTCCTTTATTTTCTGCTTCTAAGGCTTTATTTGTTAGCTTATTGATTTGCTTGCTTACATTTGCTTGTTATTATGATGGTCTGTTTAGTAGAAAGTTAGTGCATTAAGTCACATTGGCTAAAATTGCTAAGTCCCTATTAATTTACAACATTCATCCCCAGTAGCAAAATTGCTACTCCTTGTATTTTTTTCATTTAAAGAATGATTCTGTGGTGATGCTTCAAAAATATTTTTTTTAATCTGTCTTTTTACTGACGTTTATAGGATTTGCTTACTCAAGTGGGTAGTAACACAGATTTCTGAATGAAATGAAGGTATAAATTGAGGATTAGTGTGGGATTATAATATGTTTCTGTAGCCTTTCCACTGGTAATATTTGAGTTAAATTTGGCTTAAAATTAGTTGTTCTTATTCTCTTAATTATTATCATGGCGTTACTATGAATTGTTTTTATTACATAAATTTTGTCTTTTTTTAAGGTATTATGGCAGGTTCAAATAGATCTGGAGATCTAAAGGATGCTCAAAAATCTATTCCTACTGGAACAATTTTGGCTATTTCAACTACATCTTTTATTTGTATCCTTTATACTGTGACTTTTTTCTTAGTCTACATTCTGTAGATTCTGTAGGTATAATAGATTTTTCACTGGAAAATCATTAGAGTTTCCTGAGTATAAAATGAAGTAAACCGAAACTGAAAAGAAATCTTTTATATTTGTCTAAAATATCAGTATTATTTATAAACATTATTAAAATATGTAAAATTTTATTAACAAATATATGTATATTCTACTAGTACTTCAAATTCCAAGATGTAATTGATGATTTTAGTCAAGTGATCTGAAGGTTTTTAGCATTAGGGTTCAGTTGGCAGATTGTTGTCATACTCAGTATAACCAGATCTTAAACCAAACAACAAGTAATAGAAGTTGTCAGTCCTTCAAAACCTAGAGTACACAAGTACTTGCTTATGTGTATGAGAAAATGCCTGTTCTATTGCATGATATATGAGCTGTCTACTTCCAGTACTTCACAACTCGCTGTGAAATACAGTCATAAAGAACATAAACTAAAACATTGTGGTAGGGAAGAGCTAAAAAAACCAAGCAAAAAAGCAGCCAGGAAACACACACACACATATACGTCATTGTCATGGACATTTTCATTTTATACCTTGGTGAAAAAATGTGGGGTTTCCTCTATGTGATTTTTTAGAGAGTAATCTTCCTTCAGTCTCATTAACAGATCTCTCCTGTATAGTGTTGTTTGGTGCCTGTATAGAAGGTGTAATATTAAGAGATAAGTAAGTAATATTCAGCTTCTAATATTACATTGAGTATATGTAATCATATGTTATAGTAATAGAACTTAATAGTGTCTCTTGTGTAAAATACCTATGTTGTATATATTTCTTTTGCTTAGTTTAGAACTGGAGGGAAAGCGTATGGCTGCAAAAACTGGTCAGGTCATTAGACTGTATGCTTTCAAGAAGCAGAAGCAGAATCTTATGAGAAATGTTTGAAGTTGAACCAGCCTAATAAAATGTTCTTGATGAAGAAAATCATAATTAGTATTTGCAGAGCTGATGAATGGGGATAAGGTGATATTACTTTGGGCGAAGAAATAGGTTTTTGAGGAACAAATTTAAAAATTTGACAGTTACATGACATGGGGAGTTTGTAAGAAGACTGCAGTGCACCATCAAACCTATGATTTCCACTAGACATATGACTAGTTTTTGTTTTGAAATCTCACTTGTACATCAGGAGTCATGTCTATTTTCAACCATGTAATTGCCTGAAGAATTTAAGGCATAATATGAAGAATGAAGGGAATAAATGTGATGGACATGAGTATTAAGAGAATCTCCAGATTATGATCTATTTCTCCATCAGATTTTACAATTGTTTTCTTGCTGTTGTCTGGTTCTCTTTTCTACTGAGGGCCATATTTGCTTTTATGGTGATAAAATGGTGTCATTGGGGTATTGTTTAAAAGGTGGTGAAGTTGATGCTGAGACAACTTATTTTATATGTCTAGAAGGAAAACCATAAAGTAAAAGCTGGATTCTAATCAAACTAATACAAGAAGCAGTAGGGGATCCATTAAAAGCTTTTGACACATTCTCAGAGCATCCTCATAGACAAACTCAAGAACTGTGGACAGTGAGGTGGATTGAGAAGTGGCTGACTGGCAAATCCCAGAGGGTCATGATCGGTGTCATAGTCTAGTTGGACACCTAACTAGTGGTGTCCCCCAGAGTTCTGTATTGGACCAGTGGTATGCCCTTGTGGCCAAGAAGACCACAGTGTAATCCTATGGGAATAAATCATGCAGATTCCATTTTCTTCATGGTGGAAAAAGCCAACCTTGTGTGTGATTCTAGTTGGTTAGTTGCTTTCTTGCCAATTATTGTATTGGTTAGTAACAAGTTGTTATCCTGTATTGATTGGTCACTGAAATCCCCCGTGTGTACATGCAAGAAAAGTTGCTTGTGAGAGATAGTTTTCATTTATCTAACTACGTAAAAACAGTTTATACAGGTGCTAGTTGTTTTTCACACAGGAATAGATTGTTATGCTAACAAACTGCTCACACCAGGATTGCTTTCTCATGGGAATTTATAAAGTGCTAGCTTGACAAGGCCAGCCACTGATTCCGGGAGAGTAGGCCTGATCTTATGAGGCCTTTCTTTTATAATTTTTCTACCTTACAGCAACATAATCCTGGTTTGTGTTAGGAGGAAGAGCATTGCCAGCAGGTCAAAGGAGATCATCCTGCCCCTCTACTCAGCCCTGATGAGACTGCATTTGGACTGCTGAGTCCATTTCTGGGCTCCTCAGTACATGAGAGACATGGAGCCCCTGGAGGTCCAGTGGAGGGCTATGAAGGGGATAAAGGGATTGGAGCATCCCTCTTATGAGGAAAGGCTGAGGGAACTGGGCCTGTTCAGCCTTAAGAAGAGACAACTGAGAGGAGACCTTATCAATGTATTTAAGTAACTAAAGGAGGGGTGCTAAGAAGATGGACCTGAGCACTTGCCAGTGGTGCCCACCAACAGGACAAGAAGCAATGGGCAGAAACTGATGCACAGGAAGTTCCATGAATATGAGGAAGAACTTCCTTACTGTGCAAGTGACTGTGCACTGGAACAGATTGCCCAGTGATGGGGTTTGGACTCTCTGTCACTGGAGATATTCAGGAACTGTCTGGACACAATCCTGTGCATTGGACTCTGCTTGAGCAGGGAGGTTGGATCAATTGACCCACTGTGGTTCCTTCCAACATTACTCGTCTGCGATTCTGTGATTTTTACTTTAAAATGATATTACTGCACCAGTGAAAATATCTGTTAGTTTTTTCTTCACCATAAATATAAAAGCCAAATCAAACTGCCTAGGAAATAGTAAATGAATTCTAAAATAAGAAATTAATGCAGAGCTAAACTCATATTTTTTAAATTTTCAGGGCAAGGAGGGGTAAGGGAATTTTGTAAGCTCTTACCTATTGTTAGAGCTGGTTGCAGTGTAGCAAGAGCCTTGAGTCCATGAACTTTCATTTACATTGCTGCCAGTTCTTATTTGGCTGAAATTCAGCTGAACAGTAAAGTGTGTGGATTTTCAGTCTGGTCTAAAAACTCGGTTGTGAGGCTTTTTTCATTATGATTGTTGTATCTGCAATGGGAAAAATAGGTTGTACATTTTCCTGTTTCTTGCATCTCTTGAAGTTATTCCTATTCTATGTTTAGTTGAAAAATAGGCATTAGAATTTGAACTAAGAATAAATAGACAGTTATAGAAATCTTGTTATAGAAGGACAATATGGGATTTATCCTGTAATTTTGAGGAGTGTGATTTACCTTTTCCTTTTTTTCATCTGCTGAAAATAGTATGTAGTCATGCATCCAAACTTGGGCATAAGCAAAAATTTGAACACTGGCATATTATATTCACTTCATTGCTCTGTTTCTTGACCCTATTTTAAAAGCAGGTCTGAAAAGACAAAAAGCATTTAATTTTCCTTAGTTTTTCTCTTTTATTTTTGTAGACTTTTCCTTTTTTTTGGAAAAAACTGAAGATATCAGGAAAAAACTTTGGTGACATTACAGTAAAGATAGCCATAAAATTAATTCAGAAAAGTTTGCCAAGATATCTGATAATTGCTGCATATCTGCTTTGAGACAGCACTTAATGTGAAGTGATTATAATGTCTTCTTTAAAACAGCACAATAAAGAGAGATTTCTTGGTTGGAAATCCTATAGTGCGTACTGTAACACAGTGTTTATTGTTAAAAAGTGCTGTTGTCCAAAAAGATTGAAATGTGAGTGTTGAAGCTATAGTAGAAGTTATTTTCATTCTTACTGATTCTTTCTTGTTTTGTTTTAGTTATTTTTGTTTCCCCTGTTCTTTCCTAAGGTTTGGAGAAGCAGTTAATGGAAATCTGGTGGTTGGTACACTGGCCTGGCCTTCTCCATGGGTTATTGTGATTGGTTCATTCTTTTCAACATGTGGTGCTGGTCTCCAGAGTCTCACTGGTGCACCCCGGCTATTGCAGGCCATTGCAAGAGATGGCATTGTACCATTTATTCAAGTGAGATTTTTTTTACTGTTGTTCATGTTGTTACAGTATTTCCAATGTAGCTTCTATTTTGGAAAAAAAAAAAAAAAAAAAAAAAAAAAAATGGAAAAAAAAAAAAAAAAAAAGGGTGCATTATTTCTGCTGTTCCTGTAGAATGTGAAGAAAAGATTTGGAATTCAGTTCTATTTGTGTACAATAACAGATCAGGCTATTGCAGGACAAAGTTTGAGCTTCAATATTTTTGTGCAGTGCAATTTAATTATATTTGGTTTTACACATAAAAGTTAGTTAGAATATAAACTGAGACTATAGTATTCTATAAATGGAAATAAATTAACTAAGAAGCAACTCATAACTGAACTTCTAAACTCTAGGCTGTGTTTATTGCTTGCATTTGTGAACAGAGTTATTTAATCTCACTATGGAACTGCATAAAATTTCTCATATTACAGAGATGAAATACTAATTTTTATTCATTTTTGTAAGGTAAATTAAGTTAGTAAAGATGAACAATAGAATTCTATCCCATGACTCCAAATATGAAGACTTGTTCCAACATCTCTGTGCATATTTTAAGAAGAAATAAATAAGATTTTTCTCAAAGTAAGGGAGCTGGCAAACAGAAGATGATGAGAGAATTCTTGCTGGGCTGCTTCTGCAAAACCTAGGCAACTACACTTGAGTTAAGAATAAGTAAATAAAACTCCAAAAGATCTGGAGAGCAAAGCTGTGATCTGTATGGTGAAGTTTGGAGTTTGAAAGCTTACCTCAAGAACTTGGAAGACTATCTGTAACAGGAAATAAACACACTAAGTATGCTAAGGTGGTGGGACTGAGTATTGGTGGAGTTTGACTTGTCAATGGAAAGGGGCTGTAATGCATTAAGTTGTAAGTTCTGGGTAGTATAAAGAAAGAAACAAGAAAAATTTACTGTTGCCTAAAGCAAAAATTTGGTAGAGAGAAGGTGACATTATGCTTACACATCCTGAGGGTTATACTTGAAAGGAATGAAGAATTAAAAGGAAAGATTTGTGGTTCGGGAAGTGAGAGAAAAGGAATTGAAGAGAAGCAGCATATTTATAGAGGGATTTGACACTTCAGGATGCACTTGCTGTTTTGCAGTGATATGGCTACTGTATGGACAATCAAGGAAATGCAAGGAGATTATTATAGAAGCAAGACTATGACATACTTAAGAAAAAACCCCAAATTACTTGAAACATGAGTAGAAAAAAAGGGGATTTTAATATAATAGTAGGAAAATTGATGGAGGACAGGAAGCTAAAAGAAGAGGACAGCATGGAGAATGAATGAGGTCTTAATTTCTGTAATTGAATGGAGGACTATGGAGGAGATTAAATACGACAGGAACCTCAGGCATTTTGCCATCTGTCACCAGTATGGCTATATAGAATTCTCCACAAAGGAAATTGCCACATGCAAAATGTTTTTTGTTAGGGCTCTGTGCAGGATAATAGTCTTGTCTAATTTCTCTTTAAGGGTCAATATTATGTTGATAAGTACTGAATTGATACCTAATTTCTATGTTACAAAAAGTACTGGCCTAAATTATATTAGCTTTTTACTAGGCATAAATCTTTTGTACATATGGTTTTTAATTTTCTTAAGAATATTTCAATAAGAGCTGCCATAGGACTTCAATGTTATGTTATCTTTGCTTATTTTAGTAAGCATATTTCATACTGGAAATGTGTGTTTTGCAATTTTAATTTTGGCTTTTCATAGTATAGATTGCATCATTTTCCTTTATAACTAATAACTGCTTTTAGTTTGAGTTAGAACTAAATAAGTTAGTTCATGATTTCCACTATAGATTATTACTGTATAATGAACAGCTTTCCATAATCTTACTTTAAACTTGAACTAGATTTTTGGTCATGGAAAAGCAAATGGAGAACCAACTTGGGCTCTGCTCCTCACTGTTGGTATTTGTGAAATAGGAATTTTGATAGCCTCATTGGACAGTGTAGCACCGATTCTTTCAATGTAAGTATGAGTGTGGTGTTTTGTGTTCTTAAGTTAAATAGTATTTTATTTTAAAATTAACTAGGTAATTATTTTTCTTTTTAAAATAATACATGTTAGACTTTGTTTTCTATCAGATTATATTCCTGTTTTATCCTGGAGATAATATGAAACAACAAAATATTTTGGCTGAACTAATTTCTAGGCACAAAGACGTTTTTCCATGACAGAGGTCTGGAATGCTAATAAAAATATGTTCAACTTTTTAAGAACTTGGATTTTAAAATAGCAATTACTGCTATTTTAAGTCAAGTGCATCTAACAGAGACAAAATTCAGTCTTTTATAATATGAATAGATTTTTTTTTTACTTTGTCCAGAACATGATACCATCTGAGCTTCTATAGGAAAAGAAAAAAATTAACTCTGTCCTAGCCAAAAATGATAAACCATGATTGTCAGTTATTTGCCATGTTTGTCTCCAAAATACATGTTTGAGGCTCTATATTATGGTAATGCCATATTTTGAGGCCTAATATTCTATAAGCAATCTCAAAAATACATGTTTGAGGCTCTATATTATGGTAATGCCATATTTTGAGGCCTAATATTCTATAAGCAATCTCAATGTCTGTCTTGTGTTCTCTTGGCCACTGTGAAAATACTATACAGGAAGATGTATTCCTTTCTTCCCTTTTTTGGATTGTGTTTATATTTTAATGCACATCTGTCTAGTACCTTTCTCATTAGAAAATGCTCTTCCTTTTTTAACAGGTTTTTCCTTATGTGTTATATGTTTGTAAATCTGGCTTGTGCAGTTCAGACACTTTTGCGAACTCCCAACTGGAGACCTCGTTTCAAGTATTACCACTGGTAGGGAATATTTCTTCATTCAGAAGAGTTAAAAAATAACTATACTGCCCTAAATTGTTGATTTTATTGCAATAATAAAACAAAATCTCCTTTCTGACTTAAATGAGTTATGATTCATGCACTCAATTAGGGCATCACTTGTTTATGTTTTTAGAATAGCGCCATAGTAATAGCAGTAATCATGAAAATGTGTGACTAATGTAGATGGTTTGGAAAGGGGTTACAGAATGACATTATATTCTGGTTAGAAGCCAATAGATCTTCTTTGGGAAAATGAGGATGAAAAACCATAAAATCTGCCTTGTATGTATACTTAAGGAGAACTGGTAAAAGTGTTCAGGATGGTTAGGATGATTTTCATTTTGGTTATGCAAAAAATACACAAACCTAAAACTTCTACAGAAAAAAGTCTCATTCAATATAAATCAGTTGGCTCATTGATGATGTGATGACTGGATTTAAAATATGCTTTGGACATTGCATTTGATAACTGAAGTAAACCCTTTTATAAGTGAGTAAAGGTCAAGAATACAAAAGGTGAAAGTGTGTTTTTTTTATTTAGTCTTTTTTTAATGGGTTAAGAGTTCAAACATCTCAAACTAAGATTGAGAAGCTTCTTGATTTATTTCTAATTGCATAGTAAAAGTACATAACTTTATTAGAAATAATTATATTGAGAAATTTTACTGCTGAAATGACCTTAAATACTAAAGCATTTAGTAGATAAGCTGGCATGATTCTAGGATGTAAGAGTTACTTATGATTTTTCCTTTTAAAGAGTTGAGTGAAAATGAAATGTAAAGTATAAGCTTTGAAAAACTTGATGAATCTTCTCTGTAGTTACATAGTAGTTTGACACCTAATCCTCCAAATACATATATTTGGTAACAATTAGTTTTTATATTTTTCTCAGAGACATCAGTGAGGCAGCTGACTCACTGTGTGACTACTTCTAGCCAAAGCAGGTTTTGGAATGTTCAGCAGGAATTGGCATGGCATTTTCTTTTCTGAGTGAAAGTAGAGTCTTAGGTTAATTCAGGCATGAAAGAGCAGCTGTTGTTCTTTTATACAAACTACAAGAGTGATGTCCTCAGAACTTCTAGAAAGAATTCCCTTAGTTTAAAATTGAACTCAGTGCACTAAAGTTCCAAACTAAAGGTACCAAACCAAAGTTAACTATATTGACATCCCATCAATAAAGTCAAAGTTAGCTCTAATTGGGAAATTGGGTGAAAACTGATTTGGGAGGTTGTATATGACTAAAAATATGCATAAACTGTCAATTTAAGATTATTTACATCTGAATTTAATAAATGTGGGCAAACCAGGCATATAGACTTAAGTTTGGAAATGCTTTTGTAATTTTTTCAGCTTACATTCATTCTTTGTAACCTTTAGAAAGTTGTTTTCTGTATTCTATTGACTTGTGTTATTGGCCAAGAGACAGACCACAACAGAAGTGAAGAACAGAATTGATGAGTCAAAGTGAATTTAAATGAATCAACTATTTTTGCTGGAAGTAACAAAGTTGGTTTTTATTATTTTAATTTTTTAGCTTAAATTCAAATCAACAGTAATAAGTGATAATGTGTTTTGAAACTAAGCTTACTTGGAGGTACTGAAGTTTCAGTACTGACAAATGTAGTAAATTTATTGTTATATCTAATTTAGATACATTATTTATGTCACACAAAGGTTCTGAATGCATTTTTTTTTTCATATAAGCTAAAATTGGGACAATTTAAAAAAAAATATTTTATAATAGCTAAAAATAGCCTTTGAAGGAGAAAGGCCTTTCTGGAAGTTAACTTAAATAAGAAATTAACTTTGTAGAACATTTGCATGCCTATTTAAAAAAATGGAAAAAAATGGTTTCTTTTAGGACTCTTTCATTCCTGGGGATGAGTTTATGTCTTGCCTTGATGTTCATTTGCTCTTGGTACTATGCTTTGATTGCCATGCTAATCGCAGGATGTATATACAAATACATAGAATATAGAGGGTAAGACCATATATCTTATTTATTCTATATTTAATATCTTTACCATTCAGCAAAAAGCTCTTTTGTATAAAATAGATACAAATGAAATAATGAAGTTCAGAGTATTCTTTGAAACAAGGTAAAATCCGATCTCTGTTAAGGGTTGTAAGTTTTCAGATCTGAATTTCTCTGGAAGCTCTATTACATACTTTTCAACAGCGAGAACTGACAGAAATAAGAATTGATAAGTCTGGAAACTCTTGTTGGAGCAGAGATGATGGTGTAAACTTTCAGTACTTCAAGAACATTACCTCTCAATATCAAGCAGCAGCCATTACAAAAGTGTAAATTATTATTACCTTGTGCAGAAGCTCAAACTCCACATTTTTGCGTGTGTGGGCTTGATTACTTTCTAGAATTAATCTTTAAATTGCAACATACTTTGCACTGTATGCATTTGTGAAGAGATAGTCATACCTGTCAGACATGCTGAGCAATTATGAGTTTTAAAGTGTATGCTGTATTCATAAAAAAAACTCCAAAAAATGAAACCAGCAAAGACCCCAACTAAACAACATATAGAAACAGTACAGGTAATGATGATCAGTAAAGGTGCATGCTGTCCCTTTTCAAAGGATAGATACCCTATACTGGAAGAAAATAGTAATATCTGGGAGCAGGAAATTGAAACTAGGCCACTGTTTTGATAAGATTAAAAACAGCTCTTAAGTGTATCAGGTGGTATAAACCGTTCCACTCTGTGGATTCTCCATCTTTAATATGTCCATTTCCATATTAGATGCTTTCGTGGATTATAACGTCTCCATTTACTGGGCTAATGATAAGGAAATTAAGTTCCCGATTTTAGTGAGGAAGTCAGATCAGATGGTAACAGTTATGCATGCATGTGTATATATATCTGTATATATCAGTGCATACATAAAATTATGCATAATTCCAAATTTATATATAAGTTCTACAAATGTTGGCACATACCAGGACATTTAGCTTGTTGAAGGAGATGCTTTACTAGAGCTGGCTGAGTTCAGAGAAAATTCATGAGTGAAAATCAGAGGGAGAGAGGGTGGGCATGGGAGATGGACCCCTTGCCATTAATGAATGCATTCTCCTGACCACTTTCAATCACCAGTATTCTATATTGGAATTAAAATGACTGGAAAATGTAGGGAGGTGGAAAATGGTCAGGAGAATGGATGGAGGTTTAGGCTTTCTGGGAGGGAAGCTGGGAAGGAAAGAAAGTGGAGAAGGCTATAGTGGTGGTGTTGAGGGCAGGATGGGTTATACTAATGCATGTGAAGTCAAGTTTTGCTAATTTTGCTTCTTTAAAATCCTTTTAAGTATCCTTTGCTTATTCATTCTAGTGCTAAAATGCAACTTAAGTAGCTCTCACCATTACAAAAATGCTTCTGAAGTATGAATAAACTAGACCATAGTAAATATTTAAAAATTCAGAAAAAAATACCTTGAAGGAGTCTGGAACTGCTTCACCTTGGTTAGTCTTCAATCTTGATTTAAGTCTAAAAGATAAGGTTTTTTCATGCATTCATGCAAAAAGAGAGTGATCATTTTTTACATCCATTATCCCCCACATGTAAAAAAACAAGTACTTGATTTATAAATAAATGGGATGCTGTTAATTGAATCTCTTTTGTATCCTGAAGAGCGGAAAAAGAATGGGGCGATGGAATCCGAGGATTGTCTCTGAATGCAGCTCGCTATGCTTTGCTTCGTGTTGAAGACGGTCCTCCTCACACCAAGAACTGGAGGTAGAGTCCTATGTTTATTTGGGTCACTTAATTCTTGAAATATGTAAATATATTGGAATACTGCTAGTAAAGTGTGAAGTAAAGAAAAAATAAGATTCACCTTTAAAATTATGTTTTAACTTGGGCACGGCAGTGATGTCATTGCAATACTAATATTTTACTGAAATGGAGTGTGACTTGTGGTCAGTATCTAATCAACTTTGTGGCAAACTAACTTGAACTTAAATCCATATAGTATTGACATGGTTTTCAAAAGTACAGAAGAACTGTAATGCTTGATTATTTATAGATTTTTCAGATTCAAAGAAACAGTTACCCTTGAATCTCACTGTCTCCACAGAAGAAACACTGCAATTCCATAAGTGTGATTTTTTTTGTTTGTTTGTTTGTGTATGTTCCCTCTGAAATACATTGTACAAATCTACAGAGGAGTCTTTTTTGTTTAAATTCATTTTTGTGGTATTCTTTTTATACAGGTTTATTCAATAGTAGCACTTTCTAAATTGCTTAGATGCCATTAAAACAAAATCTCACATTTTACTGTAATGGAGTTATATGTCCACTACTATTTTTGCAATGTATTTTTTTTACTTGTTAAATTTAATTTTCCTTAAAGCCAACTTTAAAAGTTACTTAACATTTAAAAATTAAGGACCTTTGCACATTGTCACTTCTGGTGAGTGTAATGTGATACTTTAATTCTAGTCACTGCTCACTGATAGTATCATGGGGTGCATGCACATGCAGTGTATTAATGGCATTATTTTACTATTTTTCCTGGGACTGATGAATTTGACATCTCAGAGATACCAATGTAATGTAGAGTTGACAATCCTGTTAAATATTTGAGTGCTTCAGTTTCAAACGAGGTATCTTTCTATTGTGTCAATATAATTGCTAGAACTGAACCGTCTTGTTATATCTTAAACTCTGCTAATTTTGAGGTAAGAAGTACGATCCAACTTGTCATCAGTCTTTTGAATTTATAACAATGACAGGAAAAGTATAAAATGTTGATTTTGGAAAAGTAAGTATATTGAATATTGATTAAAGGAAATAGAGTGCATACTCATCTAGCATGCAGTTGAAACTGAACTTTGGGTACTCTTGGTATGATTAAGGGGTTGACTGTCCTTTTGTAAGGACTTACACAGGTAGAGGAGTGGGTTGTTGAGAACCTAGTGAAAATCCAGAAGGATTAACTGCAAGTTATCCTTCTATCCTTACCTGAATACGCCTGGTACAGGCATATTCAGAGCAGTGATACAAGACCGGGAAGCTGCTTTGGTAAAAAGGATCTGTGGTTCCCAGTAGATAGTAATCCAGCAGTGTGTCTTGGCAATGACATGCTGGACAGGAGGACAGATAGTGCATTGAGAAGTAAATATATTGGGAGATACTTATTTTTCTTTAGCACTCATTAGAATGCATTTAGAATATTTTTCCCATGTTTATGTACCATGATGTAGGAATGGCAAACTAAAGTAGATACAACCACAGATGATGGTTGGAGCACAGGGTATCTCTCCTCTGGGGAGGGGTTGAGGGGCTATGCTTATTCAGGTTCCAGGAGGCTGAAGAGGAGCCTAAAAGTTGTTATAACAAACATATAAACATCCAAGACCTAAGAGAAGGTTACTAAGAAGATGGAGTCAGATTTCTTACAGCAGATGAGGATAGGAGAATGAGAACATGATAAAATAATTAAGTACTGAAGAGGTGACCCAGAGGTCTGTTTCTAGAGGTTTTCCAAATCCAACTGAATGAAGCAGTACAATGTTCAGTGTTTAGTCATTTCAAGCAGGAGGTTGCACCAGATGACATTGGAAGAGTGATTTTATAATTTTCTAGGTGAAACTGGTTTTAAGTGAGGTTTTCAAAATGACCTTGTGATGGTATACGTATTCTGTGCCTGAACTGTTGTTGCTAGTGCAAATTATGTCTTACCTACTTAGGAGTTGGCTGTTTTCCTTTGAATTAAGCAATTAATCTGCATTTTATTAATTCTTAATTTTTATTTTCCAGTTCTTCATAATGAATGTGTGTGTGTGCACTAAACTTTTTTCCCTTTGTTTGGCAGACCTCAGCTTTTGGTCTTGTTAAATTTGGATAATGAGCAGTTGGTCAAACACCCTAGATTGCTTTCTTTTACCTCTCAGTTGAAGGCTGGTAAAGGACTGACTATTGTGGGTTCTGTGCTTCAGGGAATCTACTTAGATAAATGTACAGAAACTCAGAAAGCTGAAGAGGTATGTAAAAGAGAGCTTGCAAATACATGTAATTTACATTAGTATTTAGATGTTGAAACTGGATAGCTCATACATTGAATGAGAACAGACTGTTATATATAATATTGAATAAAACATCTATTTTTGCTTTCAGCACAATCAGTGATTATATAAAAATAATGTATTGGTGTATGTAGCCAAATGTTCTATAAAATTTTCTAATAGGATGAGACAGTACTGATACTTCCTAGCTTTTTTTTTTAATATTGAGAGTCCTGGGCTTACTGTCAAATTACATTAAAAAAATTTAAACACCCCTCCCTCAAAAAAACAAAACCAAAAACAACATAAATGTAACAGATGTGAATGTTTGGCATAATATCATCCTCATGCTGTGATTTTCTACATCCTTCTAGAAATACATAGGAGAATTAGGGTTAGGAGTACTCTTTGCTGGAGAACTGTAAACCAAACCCTTCTTGAGATCCTTAATTTTATTTTTCTATTTATACTATATCTCCAGAGAAAGTAGGATAGGTAGAAAAAAATAGTAAGTTGTCATATAATTTTAAATTAAATCAAACTATGTCTACAAACACAAGTAAATTTAGTTTAAATTCAATTTTTTAATAATAATACTTGTATTTACTTGCCTATGCAAACTCTCCTACTCCTGTCTTTATAGAGTGGGGAAACATTTGGACAAAGTATTGTCTTTCATTATTACTTTATTGAAATGTCCAAAAGTAGGTTTTGATTGCCGTTATATCTTCCATATTGGTTAATTTCTGCAGTGTTGCTCAAAGGAGTACCAGTTGATATGTCTACTATTTTGATCCAAGTAGCTTTCAAAGCTGTGTAAAAATCCCTGTTATTTTTTCAGACCTGGTAGCTCTTAAATAGATGAGCATTTAAAGTCTTGAAGTGGACTAGCTAACATAGCTAATTGCCCATTTCCTCACAGTTTTCCTTTTTCTTCCTCTTGCTATTCAGCCTTATCCATATCCATAGTGGTTTTTAAAATAACAAAGTATAAAGACAGATGACCTATTTGATATCCCATGAAAAGGTTCTAAGAGACCAATTAACTTGAAAACAAGTTGAAAATCCAACCATGCTATATTGTGGAAGTAGTTACTACTGACCTGTTGCTACCAACATGTGTGAGTAGAAAACAAGATGAAGAATATAAAATGAGGCCTATGAAATAAAACAGAAAAAAACTCTTTAAACAGAAACTTTCACAAGAATTTGAAATGTTATTTGTAGACAGCCTAACTTAGCTGTTTTTCTGAGAGATGGAAAATGAATGAGTTTAAGGGAGGTGTAATCCATGGCTTTTCTGGAAAGTCAGAGCTGATGTTAAGATTTAGGAAACTATTGCTTTTAAAATGGAAATTAAGATGAATTGTAAGGGTTTTGGCATCTGGAGGCGTCATTGGTTCTGGAGAAATTAAACTAGAAAGTGTTTGTAGGAGACCTGTAGGAAATAAAGATTTTCTTCTTTTAAAAAATCCCATCTATTTAAACTGATAAACCCTCACAGATATTATTTGTACAGACATACTTTTTATCTTTGCTAGAAAATTCTCTGAAGACTTTTTTCTCTGTTAAATGGAGTTTCTGATGTGAAGCCACACTGAGGCAGTGCCTGGCACTCTGTGATTTGATCTGTTCCTGATGATTTTTGACAAAATTTGTTGGGTTTTTTATGTAAAATTCAAAATATTTATGTATTAGTTCTTCCTTTGAAACATGTTCATCTCCCTCACAAGTCACTGATGATGATGGGGAGTTTTAAAGTTATTTAATCAGAAAATAATATATGCCAAAGCTCACGTTCCCTGGTCAAGCTTGATACTGGTTTGAATGCTTCTTTTAAATTACATGGTTATGTGTCTTCATGTTTGTCAGTGTTTAAATGGAGGAGAGCTATTCTAAAATTAAAGAGGGGTGGGATATTTTATCTGGTCTGTTTATCTTGTCATTATTTGGACAGTACTTCAAATTTTCTCCTGCACATCTGTTTTTCCATGTTGGGAGCTGATAAATAATCAGCCTCTTAATGTTAAAGGTATTTAAGGAACTTTGGCAGCCTCTTCTTCTTAAGTACTTGGCATCACACTTCCAAACTCTTCCAATTCCAAAAGAAATGACTGATCATTTCAACCTTTGTCAGCCACTGGTTTTGACTTTACCTGAAGCAGTGCTACTTCATTTATCTTTATCTGTGTGTTTTTACTCATGTCTTGCTCATTCTTTGGAACTAAAAGGCTGAATAATTAAAATATTGAGAAACCTGTGTGTGGTGTCTTTTGGGGTGGTAGCAATTTGGGCTCTAGTTTTCATAAAATCATGTTCACTCTTTTGGAATTAGTGATTTCTTCATGTTGATTATACATTGTTGATAAAGTTTTGCTATTGTTTAATGCTGTTACTCCTTCTGGTGTTAATTATCAGTGTTGATGGTTTGTATTTCTCTTTGTGTAATTTTCCTATTGCAGAATGTTAAGGCCTTAATGGGTGTAGAAAAGACTAAAGGATTTTGCCAGATTGTGGTATCTCCTAACTTCAGAGATGGAATATCCTATTTGATTCAGTCAGCTGGTCTAGGAGGGATGAAGCATAACACGGTCCTGATGGCATGGCCACAGTCGTGGAAGCAGACAGAAAATCGTTTCTCATGGAAAAATTTTGTTGGTATGTGTTTATTGACTTTCTCATTTGCATTTGTAATTCAGCTGTGTGACTAATGTATTTGCTGTGTGGATGAAATGTGCTACTGAACATCTGGTGGACAATTTAATCTGTATCTGATTTAATCTGGAGTGGGCTTTTTCAGTCCTCTTCAACCACAGGTTTGCTTTTTCTTCTTCTAAGCGGGTTGGTCACTAAAACTGTCATGGTTTAGGAGTGCTGCTCGGCAATTTAGTGTTCCCAGTGAGACTTTCCAAATCACACTGCTGCTTGCTTGCCCCTCTTTGTCTTCCCCCATGCCCCTTGTGCTGGGTTGGAGATAAAAATTAGAGGCACAAAAGGTAAAGATCACAGATTAAGATAAGAACAATTTACTGGAAACAGCAATGAGATAAGAAAATGAGCAGTAAGAGCAACAGTGTTAATAACAGAAAATATACAAAAGAGAGTGATTTTCATGCAGAAAAGTCCACCATGGAGCTTTACCCAACCACAACCATGCCACCCCAACCACTGCCTCCAGCTCAGAACTAGTGCCACCTGGCCATTCCTTCTGGCTTTGAACCAGGCCCATGCTTATTCTACCAGAAGAAACCCCTTCTCCTTGGAAAAGACTGCCTCACCCCTGCCCCTGGCAATGACCTGAGATGGTATAGAATAACCTCCGGGTCCTAGCCATGCCCCCTCCTGGCTGTTGCAAAAATTAACCCTTTCCTGGCCAAAAGCAAAACATCCACCACATATTTTGAACCATTTATGTAGTGCCCAGATCCTACACCTTCCAACTTACATATATATATGTATGTATATAAATGTGTGTGTGCATGTATATACATATACAAACAAGTGTATATATATATATGTATGTATGTATATGAATGTGTATATATGTATGTATATGAATGTGTATACACACACACACACACACATATATGTATATACACAAACAGGTATAATTTCCACAGTTGATATCCATTCCCCCAAGATGTCTCTTGAGTCCATTTAGTTCATGACTGCAGGTTCTAAGTGTTTTACAGAGCAGAGGGCTGGTTGCAAGCTGCATCAGGAGCCCAGAACTGGTGCCTCTGTTGTAGTCCATGCTCATTGTCCATGTTAAGTCCACTTCTCCAACACAAACCCATCACTGTGTTGCATCTCTTTTCTGATGACCTAAGGCATCATTGCCCCACTGAGCCAGAAATAATTCAGCCTATGTTGCCACCTGAGAGACTTAATTCTTGGCTGCCCAATGCATTTGTCCCATTGTTGCAATGTACTTCAATAGCCTGCCTTTGGGTATGTGTGCATCTACATAGCATGCTTTTACAGCCAACTTCTCTACCCAAGCAGCAATGTCTTGCCACAATTCAGCAGCCCAGGTGGCTTTACCTCTGTGCTGCCAATAGGTCTTTATCAGTAGTTCTAGCCATCCCCAGAGAGCATTTGCTACCATCTAGGAGTCAGTGTAAAGCTAGAATGTTGGCCATTTCTTTTGTTCAGTGATACTTAAAGCCAGCTGGATGCCATTCAGCTCTGCAACCTGATTTGATCCATCTTTTGATCCCTCAAAAGCTTCTGTGACTCACCACATAGGAGTCCATACAGCAGCCTTCCATTTTTCATGTATCCGTACAATATGACAGGAACTATCAGTAAAGACAGCATAACACTTTTCTTTTTCAGTTAGCTGATTATATGATGGGGCCTCCTCAGCATGTATCACCTTTTCCTCCTCTTCTTTCAGTACAAAATTTTCATTTTTGGCCTAGTTTGTCATGAATTCCAAGATGCCTGTGCAATCAGGGTTTCCTGTTCAAGCTCACTGTGTGATCAGCATGACCCATTTACTACACATAACATCAGTGGCATGATGTGTGGAAGGGATTTTCCCTTTGAACATCTAGCCAAGCACTGGCAGTCAGGATGCCAGGAGGAGCTGTGCCTTGGTGCTTATCACTTCTGAAGATGCTTGAACCCCTTTATACCATCCAGTTATAATGCCAGTAGCCGTTTTTCAGTAGGGGTGTAACAGGTGTCAGATCCTTTGTATGCTAGATTCCTGAACCCTAGGAATCATTGTTGAGTCTCCCCAGGTACTGTTTGCCAGAAACTCCAGGAAGAACTAATCTCCCCAGCTGTGGTATAGAGCACACATCATATTTTTCACATCTTGTTCTGTCCTGACTTGCCAAGGGCTACTGCATGGACAGTCTTCTGTTTAATTTATTCAAAAGCCTTTGGTTGTTCTGGACTGCACTTAAAATCATTCTTCTTCCGAGTCATATGCTAGAGAGAACTTGTGAGTTGACTGTGTTCTGGAATATGCATCTTTCAAAAACCCACACTGGGAAAGCTTGTGCTTCCTTCTTGGTGCTTGGTGAGGCATAGTTGCTGTTTTGTTGACCACATCCATGGCAATCTGATGATGTCCATGTTACCATTTGATTCCTAAAATCTGAGTTTCCTGGGTGGATCCCTTGACCTTGCTTTGCTTTATGGCAAAACTGGCCTCCAAGAATATTTGGGTTATCTTCTCCCCTTTCTCAAAAAATTCTGGTGTGTTGCCCCACAAGATGATGTAATCAATGTATTTGAAGTGTTCTGGAGCCTCACCCTTTTCCAGTGCAGCCTTGCTTCTTATAGCAGTGACTCTGTTCCATACTGGCAGGGCATGGCATATATCCTCTCTAATTTGCTTGAGCTTTTCAAATCTATCTGCAGTCTTGGACAGCCATAGCGTAGTTTCATATCATGGGCAGCGATATCCCAGCATCAGAGCAGCTAAGTCACTAGGAGCTCACCCAACTGGTGGCTTAAATTTTTTTTGTATATCTCACAGCTCACCTGGAGATAGGGATTGGGTGATTATCTCTGGCCCTGCCTGTTCCTCCTGTTGTGAGTGCTCTCCTTCCTTGTCATCCTTCACTAAGTGAACTGATTTTGTCTTTGATTTCTTTTTCTCTATAGGGGTGACTGCTACTGTCACAGGTTGTTCCTCTGGTTCAGTTGCAGTTTGAGTGGCCACAGTGCCTGTCAGTCTGCCTTCCTCCTCTTCCCCCGAGACTGCTGTTGTATTGCAGTGTCCAATAAATAGTGGCCAAGGCCCAGCATGTTGCAGAACTTCAACCTCCCTGGAATTGCCACAGCATTTTTCTATGAAGTATTCTGTTACTTTACCATGGTCCTATAGTTATTTAGGAGTGAAGTTCCAAACCACTGGAGCAGAATAATCCTGCAAACGCTCGTCCATGTTCTCCCACTTTCCATGTTACTCATGCCTATACACCCATGGGACAGATCTCTGAATAACCTCCTAAGAAAAGTGTGTCACCCTAACCGTGGTGTAGACTAAGGAGATCTTAGCACCAAGAATATGATTTCCTTAACATCCAAACGGAACTCAGAATTCTTGGAATGTAACAGGCTGAAGGGAGTGTAAAAGGCCAGGAAAAAGGGATGAAAACCTGGGGAAAATTATCCTCCCCCGTTCCCCCCACAGAGTGTGTATGATAAGTAAACTGCAAAGGTAATACCTGAGGTAAGAGTAGGAGAGCAACAGTCAATCATCATCTTTGACATTATGATCATTGTCTTTGCCCTTATGATGTCATAAACTGACCTCCTGCCGTATATCAGCAAAGAAATCCTGATCTCTGCCTACTCTGAAAAATACATGAGGAGCACGTACAGGAATATATACAGGATTATACTTGAACAGACCAAGCAACATTGCAACCAGTGGCTCCATACCTAAACCAAAAAACGCCTAGATCAGATTTGTTTCCAACCTGCTCTGGGCAGTCTGTTGGTATCTTAACCCATTGTGCCTCACCTCAGGCACCAAATAAAGATTGTTGTGGCTTAGGAGTGTTAATTTAGTGTTCCCACTGACACAGTCCAAATCATGCTGCTGCTTGCTCACTTTTCCCCTGAGGCTGGTTGGAGAGGAGAATTGGAGGTGTAAAAGGTAAAGATCACAGGTTAAGAACCATTTACTGGAAACAGCAACAATGTTAACAGCAAAAAGTGTACAAAAGAGAGAATGATGCATATGCAAAAATGCTCACCATGAAGCCCCACCTGATCACAGCTATGTCACATCAGCCTCTCCGTCTTGGAACTGGTACCACCCAATCACTCCCTCCAGCTCAGCACTATGCTTATTGGACCAGAAGGAAGATACTCCCTCCTGCTTTCAGCAATGGCATTAAGTAGTGTAGACTAACCTCTGGGTCCTAGCCACACCCCTCTTTGCTATTGCAACAATTAACCTTGTCCCAGCTGGAACCAAGACACCCAGGATATTCCTCTTTTGCAAAGACACCTGCGATATTCCTCTTTTGCCTCAGCAGAATCTGGGAGGGTTTAAACTTTTGAATTTTAAGCAAAAGCAAAATCTGTGTATGAAAATTAGGAGTTCTTGATTAAATGTCTTGTTATCCCTTACAGATACTGTACGAGAAACAACTGCAGCTCAACAAGCACTTTTGGTGGCTAAAAACATAGATTTATTCCCAACAAATCAAGAACGTTTTACTGAAGGAAATATCGATGTGTGGTGGATTGTTCATGATGGTGGTATGCTGATGTTGCTGCCTTTTCTCCTTCGACAGCACAAGGCAAGGACAATAGAAAATGGCTGGGATTTAATTTTCTAGCACTAAATGGTTCTAAGCATGTCTAATTAAATACTCCTTCACCTTGTTGAAATTATGCATGGTAATAGCAATCACAATGTTGCAAACTGTTATTTTGTATTTTTTTGGTAGGTTTGGAGAAAATGTAAAATGCGTATCTTCACTGTTGCTCAAATGGATGATAATAGCATTCAAATGAAGAAGGATCTTCAGATGTTCTTATACCACCTTAGACTAAATGCTCAAGTGGAAGTTGTTGAAATGGTTTGTTACTACATATTTTTAAGGTGCAAATGGGACTAAACTTGGGAAAAGAGATTTAGCTTTTTTCAAATAAAGGGATATTAGCCCAAATACAGAAATTGAAAATTTGCAGTGCCACAAACAAAGAAGAAGTTAAGCATCATTATTTTACCATGTTATAATGCTGCTGTACGTGGTGGTGAGTTTAATGAGTGTATCAAGTAGAGTTTGAGATGTTTTATGTGTTAAATCTTATTTTATTTATGATGACTAGTCCATAGAGCTGGTTCATTGAGAAGGAGAAGCTTGAATTTTTAGCAAGCAGTGAAATGGAAGGCTGAATGTGCTTTATCTAATAAGCTATGACATATGGTATGAGACAGGATGGACTTGTCTATGTCTCCAACTGCTGTAAGAATACCTCTCTGGAATAAGGAATCCTTAGGCTCAAATGAGAGTTCTTGGCATCACCAGCCTCATCCAGTGCTGAAAGCAGGACAGTATAGCTACAGTTTCACAAGTCAAGGTAGTGACAAAATTAGTTTTGTAACTTTTTTCCTTTTTTAAATATGGGTCATTAACTGTTTAGGAGAAAGGACAAAACCTATACTCTGTTTAGGCCCCCTTTTTTTTGGAAACTAAGGATGTAATTTCCAGCACTAAAAGGTAACTGGCATAATGTCCAAAGTAAGACTCATGGAGGAAAAAAAACCCAACCAAAACTTTTACTCATTCTGAAGTGGGATGAAGATGAGTAAACTGGTTGAAAACTTCTACCACCACTAGTTTCTGGAATCCCCAGAATTTATTAAAAGGTTTATCATACTAATCAGTCATAAAACAATTTTAAGAATTGTTTTAATTACTTAGGAAAAAAATTACTTGTGAAAAAATTTACTGTTCTTTGCTTAGAGTACTAAATATTAAAATCTCAAATGCTGTGGCATGTACAGTTGAAAGAACACAGAGTGCCACGAAATGGCTCAGCTTTGATTGAATTTTGAGCATAAGACAGCTTTCTAAGTTGTGCTTGTTCCAGCTGGGGTAGAGTTAATTTTCTTCATGGCAGCTGGTATGGGGCTGTGTTTTGGATATGTGCTGAGCATATCGGGATGTTGTTGTTATTGTGAAGCAGGGCTTACACAGAATCAGGATATTTTCTACTTTTTGTACTGCCACACTGTCAAGGAAGTTGAGGGAGTTTGGGAAGAGGCACAGTTGGGACACATGTCCCAAACTGACCAAAGGGATAGTCCAGACCATATGGCATCATGCTTGGTATATAAGTTGGGGAGAAAAGGGAAGAAGGGGAGAATGTTTGGAGTGATGCTGTTTGTCTTCTAAAGTAACTATTATGCATGATGGGGACCTACCCATGGGAAGCAGTGAATTAATTCCTTGTTTTGCTTGTTTGTGTGCGCAATCTTTGCTTTTCCTATTAAACTGTCTTTATCTCAACCCATGAGTTCTCTACCTTTTATCCTTCTGATTCTCTCCCAAATCCACTTGTGGGCAAGTTATAGTCTGCATGGGCCTTGGTTGCTGGCTGGGGTTAAACCGCTACAGAAATACAATTTATTCTTTTCTTCTATAAGTAATATTTAATTCTGAGAATGTTCAGAGGGTGAGATATATTACAAGTCAGTGACAACACAGGTGACTCCTATAGATTTTTATGTTGTTTTAGTTTTTAGTCAATATGAGAATATATGCCAGAATTTCTTGCTATGGCACGAAATGGCTTTGTTTATGAACATTTCTCACTGATGAAAGGATAATATGTTATTTGTGCCTAACAATTACAGTTTTTAAAGAAACAAGTGTTCACATATGCTCAGGTGGCATCAGTGCAGACCCATTTTAAATAAATGCTTTCAACTCTCACTTCTGCAACCTAGCTGGAACAGAATAGTGGAAAGTCTGTTCCAAGTACCTAAAATGTAGATAAAATCACAATAATATTGTTACAGTAGGATAGTTCACTGTATGAAATTGCTGTTTGAAGATTAGGTTTCAAGAATGAGGACAGAAGTGATAGATCAGTTATATTCTTAGGATTACTCTAATGCCATAAATATGTCCACCAAATGAATACAGATATGAGAGATACACTATCTAAATGTTGTTCTTCTAAAGACTACTTTTCTCTCGGTGTTTCTAATACCAATTTGTTTTGCAGTTTGAAAATGATATTTCTGCATTCACATATGAGAAGACACTTATGATGGAACAGCGATCTCAGATGCTAAAACAGATGCAGCTATCAAAGAATGAAAGAGAAAGGGAGGTAGGAACTTTGACTTGACAGGATGTTCTGTAAAAAATCTGAAAGTACGATCTTCTAGCTGTAGCTTCTAATCAGTGTCTAACTAGTCAAAAACTTTAATAACTGCATTGTGTTTCTCTACAACCAGTTTTACTTACAAGGTTAAAGTTATGTGGGGAAAGAAATAACTTTATTTAAATAGATTTTAAGATTTTTCCTGGTTTTGTTGAGTGCAACAGTGTGGAATACATTCAGAGCCTTTCCAAACTTGACATCAGTAGCTAAGATTCATGATTACACAACTGGACTGATTATCTTTTATTGTGATTTGGTCTTAGGAACATAGAATCATTTACATTGAAAAATACCTTTAAGTCAAGTCTGACCACTAACCTAATGCTGCCAAGTCCACCACTAAACCATGTCCCTAAGTGCCATGTCTATGTGTTGTTTAAATACCTTTGGGGACTCAACTTCAGCCACCTCTCTGGGCAGCCCATTCAAATGCTTGATAACCCTATCCATGAAGAAATTTTTCCTAATGTTCAATGTAAACATCCTCTGGTACTACTTAAGACCTTTTCCTCTTGTGTCACTTGTTACTGGGGAAACGAGACAAACCCTCACATCACTATAGCTGTCTTCCAGGTAGTTGAATAGAGTAAGTCCTTCCTGAGCCTCCTTTTCTCCATGCTAGAGAACCCTACCTCCTTCAGCCACTCCTCATATGACTTAGAAATACACCATATCACACAATATAGTACAAATTTGTTCAAATCACACTGACTGTGCTTTTGTTTCTGCATTATTTTGAATATTTTATGAATCAACTCTTTTTTTTTTTGAAACAAAATTAGCCCAACAAACTAGAATCCTGTAATATCAAGATAGAAATGCTAGTTTTATTGCTCTCCTATCCTTACTATTTTGCATATTGTAGCAACAAGCAACAAGCTTCATTCAGCTGTATTTTTATGAATATTTGTAACTTATAAGTCCTTTCCTTTTGGCTTGTGCTTCTACCCCCTCCACTATACTGCTAATTCTTCCAGTATTATCAAGACATTTTAGTGATGTAGAAGATAGTGAATGCTCTGGCTTTGCCATCACATAAATGATTTCCATCCCATAGCAAACAAGAGCACTCTACTGTGTTTAATTTCTCACTAGTAAAACAGCTAGATTTTTTTTTTCTTGTGTTTTTTTCTTTTTTGGTGTTTATCATACAAATCCGAGCAGTTTGGGGGTTTTATGCTTTTTTTTCCTTTTATTTCACCTCTTCTCTCTATTCATTTTTCCACCTCATAGGATTTTTTTAGGGTTCCTAAAGATACCTCCTATTGTTACAGTTTATTACTATAAAACCTCTTTCTTATCCATGTCATGCTAGTTTTCTTTCAATTTGAGCCTGTCTAATATCCTTCCAGTAAAGAACCAAACTTTTCTGTACAACTTATTCAGCCTTATTGTTTCTTTACTGAACAGTAGTATTTTTCCAGTGGAGTTTGAGTAATTTATCTGTTGTAGATTTTGAAGGATTTAACTTCCACATGATCAATAGGACGTAGTGCTCCGTATTCTACAGCACATAAATTGCAGAGGAGATGAAAGAATTTCTTCTCAGCTCTGAGCTGGTTGTCATCTGGACTATACTTCAGAGTATTGTTTGCTTGGAAGTTTTTATTTCTTTCTATTCCTTCCATATAATTTTTTTTCTTTATTACTCACTTTTAGCTGAACTTCACCATCACCATTATAGCATCAGTTTCTTCCTTCTAATCAAGCAGGGTAAAATCTGAGACATTCAAAATGCCACTGAATTTATTTCAGGGTCTGAAGTAAAACCCTTGATAACTCCAGGAATCTCCAGTACTTACTTCCTTGTACAAAAATAAAAGTCATATCCAGTTATTGTTTCTGATTAGGATATCTAAATCTACCTTGTTCTTTTGTATTTTCATAAGCAAATGTGGTTTACTGAAGTGACTGCTGGAACCCGGGCTAACTCTTAGAACTCTGGCACCACGCCACGAGTGGGGAACTGCCTTGGTATGGGGATTTACCAGAGGCAGACTCTTTAGAGCCACTTGCTCTAAGGTGCCAGACACAAGCCACAGCAGGGACCAGGCAGAGGAGAAAGGGGGAGGCTCTCCGTCTTGAGGTTCCACAAGGAACAGTTTATTCCAAGTGAAGGGAGCAGGACAAAAAGCCTCTAGGTCTGTTGTGTAAGGGGTTTATTCAGACACAAGTTGGGGGTTATACACAAACAGCTAACCAACAGGGAATCCTCAGGGGAGGAGTGAGGGGATTACATCAAGTGTCTGGGGCCAGTTGGGGTAGGAGATTGGAGAGGATGGGCCACATGGGCCAATGGGGCTTTGAGGAGTATGGGCATTCCAAAGGGGTGTTGCAGACAGGAATTGGCCGGAGGTTTAAGTGGTAGAGAAGGTTCAGGAATCAAGGGCTGGGTTGCCTTGACAGGCAGGGAAAGAGCTGGAACAGCAGGCGGGGAATGGTGTGAGGGACGGCTTTGAGGGAGGGATAAACCCAGGGGTAAACCAACTCGGGGAGAACATGGGGGTACAACATAACAAACCACTTAACAAGGAATCAATAAAATAAATCCAAACCACAACAGTTTATTTATGTCTTCACTTCCTCTGGAGCTACAAGATTAGTATATGCATGCAGAGTGCCCAGCCCATTCTTACTCTGATCATCTTTTTTTTTAATTAGCTGCGCCATTCTTTTCAATTTTTTGCTGATGTCCAGAACATTCCTTTTATTAGTATCACTAGTTCAAATTAGCATTACTTTTCTTTTTAATATCTGTCTCCAGGCATTCAAATATAACCTGGTATTCCAGTTTTGAATAGTGAGTGTAATTTAGTTTCCTGTTACCACCAAGATTAGTACTTTAACCTCACTTTTGTGTGTGTATGCCTTCAAATAAGGCTCAGAAGCTTTTCTTTTGCACAGTGTTTATTTGCTGTTTCAGTTATAAGCATGCTTTTACCCCTGAGCAATCACCCTCATCCTCCCTTCTGTCACTTATATAAAAGAGAATTGATTTGATCTTGCTTCTGGGTTTTCTAGTAGAACTGGGGATAGAGGACTCACCAGATGTTTGTTTACTTTTTTGGAAAACTTGATCAATTTTCTTCTATTTGGATATAAATATATGTCTGCAAAGCATAATATAGGCAACTTAGGTGTAACTGGTAAACATTTATTTATTTGACTTAGTCAATAGTGCTACATAGGGGGAAAGAAAGAAAGAAAGAAAATGTAGAGTCTCATTCCCTTTCTTGCTTCCATTTTTGGTGGTTGTTGGCTTCTTTCTCTGTTTAATCCTCAATAAGGACCCTTGGGCAAAGCAGTGATAATGGGACCTGTGAGAAGGTAATAATACTTTGCACCAACATATTGTCTTGGGTTGTGTTGTTAGGTAAGATTGGCAGAAATTTGGGTGCATGCAGGTGAGGAGAACAATTATAGTGTGTGAATTATTTGATTTTTAGGTTTTTATAGTTGAAAAGTAGCTTTCTCACATGCTTTAATTTTTTTCATGTTTTTGATTGTAATTGAGTGAAAAATTTCACCTGAATATATACATATATGAAAGGATGTGACCCTGAAAAACAAATGAATATTTGAGCTTCCCATAGAGACTGAAGAATACAATTAGCTTCCTGTTTTCACAAATGTCTGTAAAGGGACTTCATAACTAACTACTAAGCATTTAAAAATGGTCCCCCCATTATCCAAGAGGAGGCAGTTAGAAAACTCCTGAGACACTTGGATATTTATAAATCCATGGGACCAGATGGGAAACATCCCAGGGTGATGAAGGAACTGGCAGATGAGCTTGCAAAGCTGCTGTCCATCATTTACCAGCAGTGCTGGCTCACTTGGCAAGGTTCCAGATGACTGGAAGCTGGCCAGTGTGACGCCCAGTCATAAAAAGGGTGGGAAGGAGGATCCTGGTAATTATAGGCTGGTTAGCCTGACCTCAGTACCCGGTAAGGTTTTGGAACAGTTTATACTGAGTCTCATCGTACAGAACTTACAGAATGGCCAGAATTTACATTAGATCCAGCCAGAATGGGTTTAGGAGGGGTAGGTCATGTTTGACCAACCTGATCTCCTTTTATGACCAAATTATCCCCATGGTGGATGCAGAAAAGGCTGTGGATGTTGTGTACCTGGACTTCAGCGAGGCCTTTGACACTGTCCCCCCACAGCACACTCCTGGAAAAGCTGGCAGCCCACAGCTTGGACAGGAGCACTTTTTGCTGGGTTAAAAACTGGCTGGATAGTCAGGCCCAGAGAGTGGTGGTGAACAGTGCTGCATCCGGCTGACCCTCAGGGGTCTGCGCTGGGGCCAGCTCTGTTCAATGTCTTTATTGATGACATGGATGAGGGATTGAGTCTTTCATTAGTAAATCTGCAGATGACATTAATCTGGGGGTGTGTGTCAATATGTTGGAAGGTAGGAGGGCTCTGCAGAGAGACTTGAAATGTTTGAATGGATGGGCAAAGTCCAATAGTATGAAGTTTAAGAAATCCAAGTGATGAGTCCTGCATTTTGGCCCCTGCAAATAACCCCCTGGAGTGTTATAGCCACACCTGGGGATGGTGTGGCTGGACAGTGTTCTGGTAGAAAAGGACCTGGCATACTGGTTGACAGCTGGCTGAACATGAGCCAGCAGTGTGCCCTGGTGGCCAAGAAAGCCAGTGGCATCCTAGCCTGTATCAGGAATAGTGTGGCCATCAGGATCAGGGAGGTCATCCTTCGCCTATACTCAGCATTGGTGAGGCCACACCTTGAGTGCTGTGTCCAGTTCTGGGCCCCTCAGTTTAGGAAGGACATTGAGACGCTTGAGCACATCCAGAGGAGGGCAGCAGGTTGGGGAGGGGCTTGGAACACAAGCCCTATGAGGAACAGCTGAAGGAGCTGGGGTTGTTTAGCCTGGAGAAAAGGAGACTCAGGGGTCACCTTATCACTCTCTGCAACCTCCTGAAAGGTGGTTGTAGTTGGGTGGGGTTGGTAACTTTCACCAGGCAGCGATTGACCAAATGAGAGTACACAGTCTCAAGCTGCATCAAGGGAAATATAGGTTGGATATTAGGAAAACATTTTTCACTGAGTGAGAAAGTTTTGGAATGGCCTGCCCAGGAAGGTGGTGGAGTCACCATCCCTGGACGTGTTAAAAAAAAAGACTGGATATGGCACTTGATGCCATGGTGTAGTTGAGGTGTTAGGGCATGGTCAATTGATCTTGAAGGTCTCTTCCAACTTAGTCATTCTTTGGATTCTGTGAAGAAGAGCCTTATGAGCTAATACCACATATAATCTATTTAAATGAAGAATAATATGATATCTGCTTTTTTTCTGTAGACATTTTTTGTCATTAGCAACATTTTTGTCCCAGATTCAGAGCATCACAGGTGAGTCTCGAGGCTCAATTAGAAGAAAAAGCAACTCCAGTCCATTGTCCGAGATGCTCAGGCACTGCTAACTAATGATTATCAAGAGGAAGAGGTAGTTGGACATAGTGCTGACCATGACTAGATATATTTTCCTTTGCAACATTTCAAGTACCACTATTGCAAATTGAACTACACATGAGCTACAATTTTTTGTAAATGAATTGTGTTACCCTGTATTTCTTTTCTCTAGATGATGCTTCTGTGACATGAATTATATTCTCATTCTCACACTTATTTTCCATAAAAGAAACACATTTCTGAGACTGCCTGTTTTCTTAAGAGTCTGAAGCAGGGTGTTACATTAATAAACATATTTAGTGCTTTCACAAACCATTGACTTCCTTTATAGTTCCTCTGTTGCAGTAGTGAAGATTCTCAGAGACTGTATTGATATACTAGGTCTTTCAAAGAGCACAAGCCATATTTATTTGCCAGCCATTATTAACCCATATATGTCATTACTGTATTCTGTGGGTGACATTGAAAGGAAATGGACTGATGCAATCAATGAGTTTACTGTGCACTTGAAGTGTTGCTCATATGTAAAATGTGTAGCCTGGTTTGTAGAAGTGCTGTATACCTTTCTATTTCCCTTTTGTCATGGAGAGAGAAAGCAATATGTGTTTCATTAATTGAATTTAGTATCAAAATAGCACTAACAAAAATGTGCTTTTGTTGTGTTTGCATTTTTATAAACATGTATTTCTCTTGGTCTCACTGTCTTTCTAAAAATGGCAAATTTTCTTCCATTGAAGCATAATTGTACTTAACTCATCTTAAAAATACAAAATTTCATTACAATGAAATTTTAGTTCATTGGATACTGCTGCATGGTATTTACAATATTGGCATGTATTTGTTAGCTTTTTTTTATTCTTGTGATAGATCTGTATTCACAGGAACTTCTGATTTGTGGTCTTGATTTGTCATAATTTAATCATCTGTGAATGTAGGAAGACCATCATTCTAAGAGGTATTTATGTGAACCTCACAGCTGAACTCCAGAATTTGGGAATCCTGAAGGATAGGGACTAGGAAATAATTCAGGGACTATACTGAAGCTCAAAGGCATTTTAAACCACCTGCAATTCAGTTTGTGAACCACTAGAGGAATTGCTTTTCTGGAAATGAAAGTCGAATTCTCATCTGCTTGGATTTTATTAATGGTTTTAATTGATGTGCACAAAATTCTTAATTACCAGGTATGTAGAGGGACCTTGACTATGTCTAACATGTGAATAACTGAGGTTTGCAAATGGAACAGGGGCTTCAGCTCATGATTTAACAAGTCTCTGAATAGCTTTCAGACCTGTTAAATATCTTAAACAAAAAACAAACAAACAAACAATCACAGGATAAAAGAAATATCACCTCCAAAACAGAAAATTTCAAAGCACAAAAAGAATCCTGCCCCCAGTTACCAATTCACTTATAATTTTTAGAGCCTAAGATACTGTATTTGTATTATATTTGATGGAAATAGAGAAGCCTATGGATAAAGTATTATGAGGGAAAGTAAGTAAATAATGTGCTAAATATTTAATCTTATTTTCCTCCAAAGAAGCAAGGAGAACAGAAAAGAGAAAACACAATAGTCTTTCCACATGCATATGTGCTTTTTTATTCTTGAAGTTGATTAGAGTTTCTACTGTTAAAAGGGAAGAGAAGACCCCTTCATGGCTAGATTCGTTGAATTTGTTATGTAATATGCTCTTGTAAGGATAAATAATCTAATTCAATAGTCTAAATCTATAACTAGACTTCAATTCAGCCAGTCCCATACTGGCATCAGAGATTAATGTTGTAGTTCAGCTAAAGGTATGTGAAATGGATGTTTACAACAGTATCTGAGAAAATAATGTAATTTGTGAACAATGAAAGTTTTTCATTGGCAAAACACCCTGATGTTAATAAAGTAATCTCTGGTGGAATTCAACCTCACTTTAGTTCCTTACAAAAGGAACACTCCATGTAAGATGTAGTCTTGATAAACACATAACATTTTTACAAGTAATTTCATTTCATGTTGAAGTCATGATAGTCTTATATTTGTTCACAAAGTAAAGGTGCATTTTTATTCAGCTAATTTGTTTCTACAGCTGTGAAACCCCTTTTCAAAACTGTAGTAACATGTAATTTACAAATGCTGGTTTTGGCTGAATTTTGGGGTGATTATTTGTTTTGTGGCCAGGCTCAGCTGATCCATGATAAAAATACTGCCTCACGCTCTGCTCCAGCAGTTGAAGCAAGTGTGGCTGCTGCTGTGCCAGAGAAAGTGCAAATGACCTGGACTAAAGAAAAGTTTGTAGCAGAAAAGCATAAAAACAAGGATTCCAATGTGTCTGGCTTTAAAGATATTTTCAACATGAAGCCGTAAGTATGCATGTGGTATTTGGAGCCTTTTATTTCATTGTGTGTATTTTAATGGGGGAGGGGATTGTAATTTGTTGTTTTATCTCCGTTTTGTTTTTTAAGAGAGTCTGGTTTATTTAAAATTGAATACAAAAATGAGCTTTTCATGCACTTAAATGGCATTCTTATAAAAATAGCATAGACCTGGGTGGAATGACTTTAAAGAGTCATTCACAAGAGTGTTGTGAATGAAGTTTAAATATGACAGTCTTTAAAGCTGTTAACTCAACTTCTGGATTGTATCAGAAAGCATATGTGTTAAAAAGCTTAATGATAACTTTCTATTTCTTCCTGTGGGTGAAAAATTAGTGTATATGTCCCTGTATTTTTATTGTGTTTGGTAGTAGAGGGAGTTCCAAAGGAGCAGATAGTTTTTCAAGACATTTAGCTTATGTTTTTGATTTTAGGTGCATGATTTTGGGTGTGGGAGTTGTTTTGTTGGGAAGAGAGGGGGGTGGGGTGTTTGTTTGTTTGTTTTAATGGACATGCAGCAGCCCTCATCCAGTAAATTAAAGAAATATAAAACTTGTGTAAATATATATGTATTGCTATATTAAGTATTTACTGTTTAAATATTCCTTAATGTCTTTTTCTTAAATAGATAAGAGCTACTTCCTGCATCAAACCAATGTAGTAGACACAAAAACAATGGCAGAGAGAAATCATCTTGTTTGTTTCCTAATGTTGTGATTTTAAGCATTCACATGCATCTTTTTGTAGTTCTGGAAGACTGCACTCAGAAGAATAGCTTAAATTCTTTTCTGCACATGACCAAACCAAAACTGTGGATGTCAAGGGAAATCTTAATATCTAAATGAAATGCATCTTAAATCTAGGACTTGTAGGCAGTGCAGTTAGAAAGCGTATTTCAAATTAGTACCTTAAAGTCCTAAGTCCTGGATTTGCTTTGTGCTCTTTAGAAACAGCTTGCCTTCTGCACATTCCAAAAATTATTGTGCTCATGCTCTAAAGCATTGTCCTAGGCTGCATTTATACTCTAATCATTAGGGGTTTTTAAAATGTATATCTTTGAAAAATTTTTATTACTGCTTTAGAATTGTGCAAAACACTGATTTCAGATATTATTAAGACTACTATGTGTAGTTGGGTAGAAATTACAGTTCAAACTTAGGGTGTCTGTACAGTATATTAATATTGTTGACTTTAAAATGTACCTGATGGCATATTTTTTTTCCTATGCATTTGCTTCCCTTTCACATAGAGAATGGGAAAATCTGTAAGTCTAAATTTCACTTCACCTAAACAACAAACGCTGGGTTCTTTGGTTCTTGTGATCTTGTACATTGTATGCATGGTTCTTAATTGTCATTTGCAATGCGTGTATTCTTTTGTTCCTTGTTTAATATACTGTGATTTAGCATGTCACTGAAAAGATATTGTGACTTGTTAATGTTCTCTTCAATATGATCAACTTTCTTTTCAAGGTAAGTCACAAAACATGCGTTATAGTTTCTGTAAGAATATAAAACTTGACAGTACTTCTCTGCACCAGCATAATATTTAGTGTTCTAATTAACTACATTAAAAAATGAGTATTTTTTTTTTCTGGAAGAATAGCCTCCCTTGTGCTATAACTACTTGGACAATAGGAAATATTTGTTCACAAAAGGAACTTCCATGTTTCATCAAAAAGTCAGTTCTTGCCTGCCTTCTACCAACCCATGCATGTGTAGAAATAACGTAAGTTTGGACATACTTTAGGTATGACAGCACACAAAAAGAGAATACTACATCTCTTGAGTGGAATTCACTTGACTGCTCTGTTTTTTTTTTTTCAGAGGTCAGCATTTTCTTAATTTTATCTGCTTAACAAATTGAACATCTTAGAAAAATTTTGGACATTTACTTTGTCTACTATGTATGATTTCAGTTCTACCAGTGCTTGTAGGATGAGTGATCTTAGCTTCACTTCACATTTTACACACCATGAGCCTTTATTTCAGTGCTGAATTTTGCCCGCTCTGTCACAAAGTTACATTTTAGTTTTGTTTTAGCAATGTTTTGATTTCAATATTTATGCATCTCAGTTATACAATCTTGCCTCTCTTCATAGTTCTTTTTGGTCTTCCCAAAAATGCAATTCTGCTTCCAGAAATGGAACTTCAAGCTTTCCTTTGTTCCATATATAGTTTTCATACAGTTTGTTCTTAGGATAGTGGCCACCATGATAGAAGGTCCCTCAGGAGGGACTGATAAAACTCAGTTTTAGAAATATGATTCTCTTATAGGGGGAAGATGGGAGGTGGCAGAGCATGAAGAATCAATTTAATTGATAGGGCTGGTTTCCACTGGCCACTAAATTTCAGGCCAAATGTCTTTTAACTATTTATTTGAAAAAAACAAAACCAAAAACAACCCCTACTTTTATGCAGCAGATCTTTTAGATAAATTTACTTAGGCAGAGTTTGAATATTTTGGTCACACTATAGCATATGACTCATTTCCAGCCTTGGCTAACTCTACACACAGCTGTTTCTCAGGAACTGTAAGGAAACTGTTCTTTTTTTCTGAAAAACCACTGAACCATACAAAAGAGATACTAAAATAAGGACATTTTAAAAATCCTAGTAGTTTTTTATTTCCTGTGCACAGATCTACAACAATTATCTTTGTAGATGAAACAAGGAAAATATTAGGTAAAGTTGATAATGTACAGGCTTAAGCTCAATTTCAGTTCACTGCTTACTGTCGTATGTTACAACATAAGAAGTTAGTAATTTTTTCAAAATTCTGTGGTGTTTCTGAATTTTCTTCACCAGCTTGTAGAATTTTGTAATGTTTCCAAAGGAGCATGAGTAAAATCTTTTACTGTACAACATAAATATTGTGATCTTTCCATTGCATTCCTGAAATTTCATTGTTTGGAAGTTCTTGTATAAATCCAGTTACTTTTTAATGTAAGTCAATAAATGAGATTCTTAGTGGTTCTTGTCTGACCTGTAATATCTATTGAAATCAAGTTTTTGATTTATCTTGGTAAAAGATAATTGATAAGTAGAAGATTTGTGTATTTTGACAATTTACTTACTTCTGCTTGAATTTCAGAGTTAAATGTTCTTGTCAAAGGTACTGGGTTTATTTATTTTGAATATGTACAAATACTAATATCCATGAAAATAGCTTGTTTTACATACTTATAATTTCAAATAAATATTGTATGATTCAGTTATGTAAGTGTTGTAACAATGCTTAAAAATTTTTCTTTGTATGCTAGGAATCAGTCAAATGTGAGAAGAATGCACACTGCTGTGAAGCTCAATGGAGTAGTGCTTAATAAATCACAGCATGCTCAGCTAGTTCTCCTGAATATGCCTGGACCTCCTAAAAACAGAAAAGGGGATGAAAACTGTATCCTCTACTGTATTGATTCTATATTTTTTGAAACTGATAATTTCATTTTTGTGATTCTGCCATTACCTGTTGGGATAACCATTACAACGTATGGTAAGCATAAGTCGGCCTATAAGAAAATGAAATAAAGAGAGTTAAAAAACAAAAGAAATCTTGACTGGGGGGTGGTTTATTGATATAAAGGATTTCCTTAACTTTGAGCAGATTTTAAAATTTCCTATTCTTATCTTTTTTGTAGGTTAGTAGGGCAAAACTAGGATTTTCCCCCAAGTTAGGCCTGACTTCCACTTGAATAACTGGGTAACAGGACAGTAAAGAGTGACACAGAAAAACTCTTTGATTATATTGTTGAACTCTATTTTTGCATTATGTGTCAGACTTTTTGAGAGATTACTAGATATTTTGTTTCTCTTCTGAATAAATTCCTTGACCAAATGGTATTTCAGACATGGAATTTCTGGAAGTTCTGACAGAAGGTCTAGATAGAGTTCTCCTAGTCCGAGGCAGTGGACGTGAAGTGATCACCATTTATTCTTGATCTGTTTGCATGTATTTTTCAAACACAACACACCCCCACCATAAGAAAACAAAGGGGTTTTTTGCCATAATTTGAGCAGCTTCTTTGTCTTCTAGTGCATTGAAAATTAGCTTCAAGCTGAATCTTCTGATGATGTGTTCTTTTTTTCCTAGCAAGATGTTCTATTTAAATAATATTTTAAGTAGATTTATGTAGAAAATTAATAAATGGTGAGTTAATAAATGGTGAATGGCTTAGGATATTTATATGTAGCATATTCTGACACTTCTTAAGCTGTGGTAAAACAAAAAAAATTGGCAATGCAATCATATTTTTAAAGATATAGAAATGTCAGCAACTTTTGATTATTTTAATATTTGTTCTGCATCTAAATAAAAAGGAAGGGTTTTAGAAAATGTTGTCTTTTTTTTCTTACCAAATGCTGCTATGTTGCTTCTTGGGGAATTAGTCGTGGTTCAGGAGCCTTCCTTCAGTGATGTATACAGCCAGTGAAATTTCTTTATGATGTGCAATTAAGTGTTTCCCAGAAGTTCATTATTTGCCATACCTGTTAAAAATAACATTTCTGTATTTAAAATACTGAGGTAGATGAAACCTCCAGATGATAGTAAACAGACAAGCTGTGTGAGTTCTTTTCTATGAGGTACTGGCAGTTACTGTTATTTTGCATGATTATACCAATACCAATGAAACATGAGAGCATCCAACTTATAGGAAGGCTATGGTGCAGGAACTCCACCTGGTTCCAAATATAATATAACAGTTGATAAACCGCAACAAGGTGGTTAATGAATTGCAGTCTCTTGTTTTCAAATATGTATATTTTGAAAATGTATGTATGTGCTGCTGTTTGAAATAAAATCTGCTTTTCTGAACTGAAGAAGTTCCTAATTGTTTTTCTTTGAAATTGTTGAGTAGTTTAGTTTAGGTGCTCAATAGAAACATTTTGCTTCTGTTACAATTCTGTTCCATTTTAGGCAGTCTTTAGTTTTGTAAATGTTCTTTAAGATCTCATGTATCAAAACATTGTTCTGCTCTAAAAAGAATAGGTCTGTTTAAACATATAAACCACTATTTTCTTTTTTTCTTTTTTTAATTCCTTTGTAATACAATCAAGATGTCTGTTGCTCAGACTAGAACAAGAGTGATGCAGTGCCCAAATCCCTGGCTAGTCCCAAGGCCAGTGTTTTTATCATACCACTCAGGTGAAGTAAGACAAAGCTATAAACAGCAAAAGCTGAAAGCAGCCATTACCTGTCCATGTGGTTTGATGCACAGGAACAGAGGGAATAAAAAGGTAATCAGGTGGCCCAGTGAACTCCTGATGAGTCAAAAGTACTGCTGGGATACTTCAAAAGGCACTTGGAAAGGTATTCTGCACAGGAATATCCCTGTATACCACTGGGTGTGACTGCAGCTGTATGCCTTGGGTTAGGAATAGGTTTATGTATAAGCACTCAGAGGTACCTTGGGGGCACACCAAAGATGCTCCACAGGGTCTTAGGTACAATGAAAGGCACATGAAGGTCCTGTGGACAGATGAGAAGGCATGTGAAAGTTCTAGATTTGCACAGTACATCAATTGAATGAAAAAACATTCTCAGGCCAGTGAGAAGAACATCAGCAGATGCTTCTACTGCACTCCATATGGCTCTAATCTTTTCATGGGATATATTAAAAGGTACTCCATGGGCTGTGGTGCAGGGCCATCAGCAGGCATTTATAGAACTGATATGTGGGGTTGTGGGTTGGAGACAGACACACAACACAACACTAGTAGGTCATCAGCAAACAGCAATGAGTTTAATATGTCTGCCCCTTTTACGGGAGCTTTGGATTTCCTGGGCTCAGATAGTTGATTGGATGACCTCTCTCTGCCCAGCTCTCTGGCCAGTGGTGTATCAGCATCTACGCTAGAACAGTGTTGGCTGAGGTCTTTGCTTGGGTTTGAATCCAACCTATCCATACCTTGTCCAGGGACTTGTTTTTTTCTAGGTTGGTTGAGTTTAGAGGGCAGCTTCAGATCAGCTGCACTGTGACAACAGACAACTGCAGATAGCTTGTAGTAAAAGTTTAGTTTAGAGATAGGCTTTTAGAGCCATCTGGGACCTACCAAAAGCTCTATGAGTGCCCTTAGATGCAAGGCAAAACTGACAGGTTTTTCTGCAGGCATACCAGAAGGCATTTGGTAAGCTTGTGGAAATGGTAGACTGTCAAGCAGGAAAGTACAAAACATCAACATCAACATTAGACAGGAAGCTTTTTAAGATCCAGCAGCAGATAGGCTTCTGAGACTCTTTTACATGCTTGTGTGTTACAGGGAATATCCATGCTGTGATAGAGGATGTACGAACACTTACATGCTGACTTAATTATTTTTGAGATTTGCGTGTAGGTGTACAGTATTAAGAATTACGGGCTATGAGTTATCAAACACTGATTTAAAGTGGTGGATAGGTGGGATAGTCACATGCAAGACTAGTCAAGGCAAAATGCCACTGAGGCCTTATTTCTGATGATAGTTTTTTATATTTTCCAATGATCTCACAAGAAAGAGCTGTGGGACAATTTTACACCTATTCTCACGTGCAAATCTTTCTCCTGCAACCTTTAAATATGACAAGAAGTTAGGTAAGAATACATTAATTTATGGCAGTAAACATAGATCATGGATACTGTCAGGAATTATGAGAGAGACAGGGAGACTGTGAGATGGTCAAAAGAATCCAAATTTATTGTGGACTACATTGTTTCTATACTAGTTTAGGAAGACTAGTAATGTTTTACTGCAATGATTGGGTTAATCATCACATAAACAAACTTACACATTTTACGACATCTCTTGCTTACAGAAGTGTTG